GATATACCAGATAAGTCTTAACTATCTCTAAGAACACAAATATTTGCCAAATTCTGCAAAATATCCTGAAAAACGAAAATTTTACATTTGGGACACTTTTTTTGATACACCCTGTATAGTATAGGATATATAGCGATTACTTCATGGTTGGCAAGTGCGTACGATTTTTATGCACGAGTTGTGAAGGATCGCAATACGAACGAGTGAGCGCAGCGAACGAGTGAGTTTGCGATGCTTCGCAACGAGTGCATAATAAAAATCGTACAAACGAGCCAACCATGAAGTAATTTGTTTATTAAATGTGTATAGAGATCAATTTGACAACGACACGCTTTTAATATACAAAAACACAGCGAGCAACAAAATCGAAACTTTATGCATGAAAACATTTTTATTACCGTTCAGTTTCTTTGTAATTTTGTTCAATAGAAGTTAGATATTCTTTCCGAAAGATTTGAGAATGTGCTGAATGTAAAAATGTTTTGAATATGAGAATTTTTGTTTATATTACTGTATCATTCTTATTTAACGAATAAAAAACAAAGTTTTGGAAGCCACTTCAGTGCTTGCTTGGCGACTGGCTGGCGAAAGAGCCGAAAGAGCGCATTGAATAAATAAATAAACTAAATACTGTATGCCTCGCTGTATGCTATATAATAAATCCCTTATTAACCGAATACGTTCGGTCCGCACTGTCAAGACCTCGGTTTGATATTTTTCTAGTACGGACCTCAAATTCGGTTAATAAGTGGTATATGTACTGCAGGTTTGCGTAAGGTCTACAAATCTACAATATCAATGACCTTTGTACACATCCACGCTTTGATTAAGGAAGCACTCGTTTTCCAGTTAATATTATTCGCAAAAATGCGAACCCACGCACGCTACTCCATTTCCGTCTTACGTTTTCACTCCGAAAACTGAAATAAAGAAAATAATTATTCATTTAAAAAAAATCCTAAATCAGACATAAACGCAATGCAATCACACATAAAAGCATAGTTTGGGATGCTCTTTCAAGCTGTACTGATGAATATTCCTAATTACTCCGGCGTCAGCGACGGAGTTGAAAATTCGCCTCGGTTTTGTTTTGTTGTTTTTTTTTTTATTTTTTTTTTTATTTTTCGTCGTCGCAAGTCTGAATGGCGCGAAACATTGTAGTATTTAAAATGTGTATGTAACCGTATTTATCTACGTCCCAGTCTTATCTGCCAAGAGTTGTGGTGCACAGCTTTGGCTAATTTTCCGATGCGCGATTCGATTTCGCTCGCATGATACGGCAATTCCTCCAAGAGCAACAAATAAACCGTTCTTTTCATGCTTTTCGACTAAGTTTAGATTGAATTGGGGTAAGAATATATTTAATACATGTAGATTCTGGTCCTATTTTAGTAATATCGCTGCTATTTCGCCGTTTAACAAGATGATGTGGTCGTGTATGGGCGCTTTGACTAGTCGTAGTTTGCACAGGATTGAAGATTTATTATAACTATATAAACGCGAATTCCAAAGGCAAAGTGTAAGACAAAGCGAATATATCATGCGGTTTATTTACATGTTTGAACAATTGAACTTCTATACTTTTTAAAGTACGATGTCCTTTTGAATTTCGCGATCGAACGTTTAGGTTCGCAAGGCATCTAAATGCGAATATGAACTGTATTGTTTATGTTCAGAAGCTCTATATTGAAGACTGGCACGTGCGCCGGAGTTAACGCCAGAACAGGCGTCTTGTTTAAAATTTAATTTAATGTAGAAATTATTTCTCTTCATTTACACTTTCGAGTTTCACTTTGTAGCCGGGAACCACTATGTGAGTTTGAGTTTCTAGCCGTATAATCAATATCCCGGGGATCGATCGTAGGCAGAGATGGATTGTACCTGTAAATCGCGATAAAGTTGTTCAAACAGATGTCAATAAGTTGCCCAAAAAGGCTGAAAATTTGCTCAAAATAAAAAAAATTTCGTGATAAAATGGAAAACAATTATTTTAAAAATGAGTGTTGCCCGCATAGAAATTGATTGCTTCTGGTTCATATGTTTATTTTTGATATTTTGATATCAAACTTGCGCTTTAGACTAATTTCTTATCTCGTATCCATGTTCTTTTTTGCTATCTGTCATGCTTCATATATCTTCTTTCTTCTCATTTTATTTTATGAATATGAATTATGAAACGCTTTTACAAAAAGGTTTACGAAATCACAGTTAAATTGTTGACGTTCTCATTGAAATACAAACTTTCTGTCTTAGCCAATCGGAACGTTTGTTGATTACCAGTCGTTACTAGCGCATGCGCATAACATACAAAACCACCGAACGTCGACCTTCCATGACAGAATTTGGACAACTTTGGATTCAGCTATGTTCTTCCGGGTTCCGGGTGTAATTCCTACTCTCCGAGCGGAATTAGTACCCTCGCCCGCTTGGGGACAACGGCGATGACGTCATAGTTATGGACAATTTCTGACTGTTCGTGACTGGGAAATTTCTGGTTTTTAGCAAATCAGCTAAAATTTTAAATCTGACTCACGACTTACGAGTGTTCAATATTTTCCCCGAGCCGTTGTGGAGGGTACTAACTCCGCCCGGAGATTTGAAATTACACCCGGAACACGGGAGAACATAGTTGAATTCAATGGACGACTTGCGCTTGTAAAACACAGGTGGCTCGAAGGTGGCTCGCTACAGTTTTAAGAATATTGAAAACTAATTATTTAGATTGAAATTTTTGGCAGGAAATTTCTTGCTAAACGAAATGAAATTTTCCAGATATATTAACCGTCATTACCGTTGTTATGGTAACAATGGCGATTCAATATGGCTGTCATTTTACTTATTCACGCATGCAGTTTGCTCCAAAACAAGTTCGGTTACCCCAATTTTTTATTTTATAAAAAGTTTTCTTACAAAAAAATGGGAAATTTGAGCAAGTTTAAAAAAATTCTATAGAGCCAAAAAATTTCTATAACAAAAAATCACGTTTTTTAATTTTTGATAATTTTGGCTCTATAGAATTTTTTTTAACTGGTTCAAATTTTCCAATTTTGTAAGAAAACTTTTTATAAAATAAAAAATTGGGGTAACCGAACTTGTTTTCGAGTAAAATGCGTGAATAGGTAAAATGTTGGCCATGTTGAATCGCCATTGTTACCATAACAACGATAATGACGTCATGCTTATGGGCAATTTCGGACTGTTAGAATGTTGGTTAATATATCTGGGAAATTTCTTTTTCTTAGCAAGAAATCTCGTGCTAAAATTTTGAATCAAAACCAAAAGTTTTCAATATTTTAAAAAATTGTAGGGAGCCACCTTATCTAAGCGGCAAAAAAGACATTTTCTGAAAGCGCTTACTAAAATTAGTAAAACTGCCAACTTTGGCTGCGAAATGGTGTAAATTACGGAAAATATAGCCATGCGAAGTTGTGGATTTTTGTATACTTTTGTATTACGGTCGAAAGTTTATTGTAACTAAACTAGTTACACATTTCCGCACGTAATACGTATACAAAATATGCCAACTTCGCATGGCTATATTTTCCCTATTTTACCAAATTTTGCAAACAAACTTTGCATTTGCACAAATTCAAGTACGCTCTTTCTAGCTGTGGTGACTTATTTTCATTTTATTACTTCGATCAAAAATTAGTCTAAAGCGCAAGTCGTCCATTACGTTGTCCAAAATGTCATGGACTTTAGACGTTCGATGGTCATGGTATTTGCACGCATGCGCAAAATTTAAACGAGTAAAGACTGCTAACCAGGAAATTGCTGATTGGCTAAGACAAAAAGTTTGTATTGGAATGAAAAACGTCAGCAATTTAACTGTCATTTTGAAAACTATTTTTCTTAAAAATGTTTCGAAAACACAAAATGAAACGTTGAATCTAACAAAATGATATAAACACTAGGAAAATATTAAAAATTCAATACTAGCGGTGAAAAGGAAGCACTCGTAGTTTATAATCGTTGAAGTGGTAGGTGACTGTCTATTTTGTTTCTGAACGCATTTTATTTTCATTGAGTTATTTGAGTATGAGCCTGGTATGTCGTTTTGCGATAACCTAACCGACTATTTAAGGCTTTACATCACGAGTTCTTGAAAGTGTAATTCGTAGTTTTGATGTAACAAATAACACGTTAAAGTTTTTATAGAGTCGACTGCAATCTCTGCATGAATTCAATAATCGAAAAACAATATTCGACGTTTAGTGCTTGGGGATTTAGGTTATTTGTGCTGTTTTGAAGGTTTAGCTGTAGTGAAGTATTTAGTCTCACTTAAACTGTAAAAGTCTATAAACTGCATGCAAGAAAGGTAATGCAGCAGGAAAATGGGTGATTTCACTTCACCTTTAATTTCATATGACTGTGTTTGTTTCTAAAAAAATTGAAACATCAGCTATTGGCTTCATTTTATAATGTAAGCTTAGAGGGTTAAATATTTTGCTTGGTATGAAATGTCGAGGGGTTGCTGTAAGCATGTATATATGTCTAGTTAAAATTGTAGAAAGCCATTTTAATTAGCTTTTTTGAAGGATGTTTATATAAAAGCTTCGACTGCCATGTACAATATGAATTGCAAAAATGTTTAAAACAACAAAACTTATAGTAATTCTTGATGAGTGACCAGTATAGTGAGCTCAAAGTTGCCAAAATTATTCTTATTTTAGAAAAAGGTGCTTAAAGCTGCTTGCTTAAAAGATGTTCAAAGTCCAAAAAGTTGCTGAGCCCAATCTGTCTGTACCTAATCGAGCGTGTTTCTGGATTTACCTCGGCGCGCCCGAAAAAATATATAGTTTGAGAACGAGGGAGGTAAGAAATCTAAATATGATTGTTAGTTGGGTAGTTTTCCTTTCCAGAGTGCAAATTCAAGAAGGATATATACGACAAGAACCATGGGCAATGCATGGGTTGGTAACTTTTAGAATACCTTATGAAACACGATAGGAGAATTAATTATATTGCAAGAAAATATAGATGAACAAAATCTAAACTCAAACTACTTTTCCACTACATACAGGTATTAGTAATACTTGTAATAATAAAATATTCTTACTACTCCATAAATGTTCAATAAAAAGCCCAAATTACAATATAAAAGGCTCTCTCCACTCAATAGTTTCATAAATACGTCCTTAGCCATGAATAATCTTAAATTTTAGCAATTTCTGCATTCTTAAATTTCTCTTTCACCCGTGTATATATATAACTTGCTATATGTACAGTATATATTCCATCACTGTTCATCAAGCAAAGAATAATAATCATGCAGTCATTAGCATGATTTGAAACACATTTAAACAAAGCCAACTGATTAATTGTTGCCTATATAACGATGTTGAATGAGTTTGATAGAGGATGTTGGATGTCGATACAACGCTTATGTATAAGGCCCGTTTTAGACGTCGAATTTTTCATGTGCCGAATCGAATGCAAATGACCTTAAACAAGGAATTTGGTTCATTAGCATTAGTTTCAGCGCATGAAAAGTTCGACGTCTGAAACAGGCCTAGTCTAAGGCAACTTTTAACGATAGCGAAAAATCTAACGATATATTATAATGTTGGCTGATGTTTGAACGAAATACTTCATAAATATAGGGTTATACCATGATAGAACCATGGTAGTTTGAGAAAAATAGTTAGTTGGTCCTTCGATCATTCGTTGACCGCTTATTTCATTATTCTATTATATTTATGATATCCACCTCAATATATTACGCAGTTAGCCTCTCTCACTATGTCAAATGCATATATACAAATGAAAAAATAGCTTTTAAAATACTTATCTGGAGATAGAACTTAATTACTTAATTACTGCACCAACTTACAAAATATTAGGTCTTGTATTTAGTTTTTACATTTGATATCCAATCGGAGCAACGTAATCGAATATAGCACTGTGAGAAAGGCTAATCGTTCTGTTTTCCGTTTTGAAATTTTGAAATGAAAAAAGGCGTTGAATTAATATACTAGACTATCCTTACCATGATACTGCTGCCCGCAGCAGGTAGTGAATCAAGGGTTTTTCAGAAACTTTGGCAGTACGAGCTTTTACCTATACAATTTTCCCCCTTTCACATCGTACGAACCCAATATACAACATAATATGTCAGCTGTTAGTGATACATTCAAGCTTCGCGTCACTCAAAAACATGCTTCACGCAAATGAATAACACCATTTTCTTGAAAAGCCCCTTATTCACTGCATGTGTTTTATATAATTATTGCTACGATATATTCATGTATATTTTTCACTTTTCTATAACTGTCACGCATTTACTCTACTATACAACTTTGATAAACCTATAATTTGCACGCATACACCTACTTCTCATCGCCTTGTCGTATTTTATGCGGAGAACAGACAGAAAAAAGGTTTTCGGCATCTAAAAATGGTTTATAACATGCAACAAAACGCAACCTTCTTAAATTGATAGCCGTCAACAGAAATCGAGTTGACAAGAGAATAAAGTCACATCAGGATAGCTACCAGTCTGCCATATTGTCCTAAAAAACAAAAAAATTCTATATGGGTATTTCGTCGGCGTTGAAATTTATAATGAAGTGAACACAGATGTTTCACAGATTATCGGAATACAGATGTTTGCCCATAGCAATTTTTATCCCGACAACGTTGTTTTTAGACGCATCTAGTCTATTATTTCAAACTGAACTTCTATATTTACTATACAAGGCCTGGAATAAAAAGTTGGATAGTATGGCCAGAAAAACAGGACATCGATCTTGCTGCTATAGCGGCAAACGGTATTCCAATACAGTTAAAATGTAACCGGCATAATCACTTTGTGCGTTTTAAAAACACGGCCATGCAAATCCAAAAAATGCTTATTATTTTATTTTATTCACAAGAATCAAGCAACATACACGTCAAACTTTGGAAGCAGTGGCGTAACTAGAACGATAATTGAAGGGCTGAATATTCATATATCCAGTTCTGCCCTACGGATTTCTTTTGTAATTGCAATAGCTTACAATAGAAATCTGTCGGGCAGAACTGAATATATGAATATTCACCCCTTCAATTATCGTTCTAGTTACGTCCCTGTTTGGGAGTGCAAAAAAGTGTGTTGAGAATTCGACTTACCGATATTTTAAAGAGATTTAAACACTGACAGGTCTGAGTGGTTTTGTGTCTTTGATATGTTGGTCCCCATCAGTCTCTGGGTTCAAGGTACTTTCAGTTGTCGCGTCTTCAGTCGTGCTGTGTTCGTGAACGGTCGAAAGGGTCACAAGTGGAATTGCCGGCGAATCCGTATCATCCTCGTTCGCTAAGGTTTCCAAATCCGGCTTATCGGTGACGGTCGATAGCTTGCGTTCGTGCTCGAAGTCGTATTCACGATGACGGTGTTTATGTTTGTGCTTGTGCTTATGTTTATGTTTGTGTTTACGTTTGGGTGGTTTGTGTTCACGAGGCCCGTCGTTGCTTCCGGGAGTTTGTTGTTGGTTGCCCTCCATGGATTTCCATATGGTGCAATTCTTAAGCTCCTCGGTGATGTTGATACCACTATCATTATAGCCCAACGTTGCAGTTGCAGGAGGTTCCTCTGCAATTTGCTAAAAACGAAAACAAAGTCAACAAACATGCATGCGCAATACACTCATAGCCTGTAATACACTCATAGCCTGTCTGCTTCAAAGGTGGATCAGTTCTCTTGACAGTTCTGTGTTTTTGAAAGTGAAATTTCCTAAATTAATGTTCGATTTAGCCAAGAAATAGCTGCGCATAAATATTACCATTTGGCAATGCGTTCAACTGGCAGTTTTCCGAATTTTTCGGTTTATTTACGTTTCAAACGCTACGTTTCTCGAATGAAACGTGCAGATTCGAATTGATAAACGGTTATGTTATTTACAAAATTGCTCAACGTTTGTCGGAAAATTCCTCAGGTTTTGACAGTTCAAGTGGTTAACATGTCTTACTGTTTATTGAGAATATTGCACGAAAGAATTCCAACTTGGGGTTACTCGCAAGGCCGAAACTGGAACGATAATTGAGGTTGGGGGTTATTCATATATTCAATTCTGCCCGACGGATTTCTTTTGTGTAAGTGGAATAGCTTAGGTACAATAGAAATCCATCGGGCAGAACAGGATAAATGAATAAACACCCCTCCTCCATTATCGTTCTAGTTTCGGCCCTGGATACTCGGCGAGTATTTCTATGGAAGTCTTGTAAAATTTTCCCACATACGTGGAATAATTTTTTGTAAACAACATAACCGTTTACCAAATCAAACCTGCATGTTTCATTCCAGAAACGTAACTTTGGAAACGTAAATAAACGCGAAAAAGTCGGATGGTAATACATGCTAGCTTGTATTACACATGCATGAGTTATTATAAGCCAAGGTCAGTGAACTATATAAGAAAAAATTACACTTCTATGATAAGATGGAGAAAATTGAAGCCTACTGTACTTACCAGAGATTCAACATCTGCACCGTCAGCTTCCTCTATTTTCTTCTTCATTGATTCCGGCATAACATCATCGAGCACCTCCAATTCGTGTTTCGTAAATATTTTCTCCATTAATTTACGAACCGCCACCAAAGCTAATACCTATAAAATATAAACAAACAACTCAGTAAAACGACTACAACGTTTTATAAAATTATCAATTCCGCACGATGATCTATTTCATCCGGGTATTGTGAATGCACGTGCGAAACCAAAGTTGTCCGCCATTATGTCAATTATGCGCACGGGCAAGGCCAAACCGAGTCAAAACTGGTAACTAGGAAACGCGAGGTTTATTTAAGCTTTGTGTCCACGTCAGCTAGCAAAACTGCCATTTTTATGAACTTACGGTACTTATGTAAGTTTTAAGGTAAATTTTATAAAAAAACCAACAGAATAAATGTTTGAATATAAAGTTCTGCGATAAGATATATTTGCTTATATACATGTTAAAAAGACAACATTTCGACTTTGACAGAACGTCATTAATTCAATAAAAGTACTAAATTAAAACAATAGACTGGTTAGTGAGAATAAAATGAAAACGATCCTACATATAGAAAGAGTTTTGCACGGGTAAAGAATTTGAAAACAATCGAATTTGTTCCGGCATTCGAACCAGAGATATATAAACCTACCATTAACGGGAAGGAGATTGCAGCAGGTGTGGCCTTTATTACCCATAGTATTATCAAACACGTCACTTGAATTCCAGTAAAAATATGAATCCGACTGATGCGAACTTTTCTTAAATATACTCTATCTGGTTGATGTTTCAATGGCATAAACAGTATTTTAATTCTCTCGAAGAACTACAAAAAAATAATAGGTTAAAAAGTTAAATATAAAAATTACAAAATATAATAGGTTATAAGCGTTTGGATACACTGGATGTATATAAAAACAAGGAGTCGGCGTCTTGTAAATAATTATGATAGCATTTTGTTTTTCATTTATTCAACAGTTTGGAATACATTTAACAATTTTTCCACGAGTCGTATATCTGAGCTTAACTTCAGTCAATCTTTCGCTGAATGTTTGCATGATAAATCAAATTTAAAAATCCGTTTTCATTACCGATAAATATTTTAATCTCATAATTTGTTCATTTTAAATCTCTGGGAACTGAACGTTCAAAAAGTGTTTTCAGTGGCGTAGCCAGCCTGTCGATTTTGTCCCGCTATGTAAATTTCGAGTTATTACAGTCATTCATTCATTAGAAATCTATTGTTTTCACGGTCAGTGAAAACTAATATTAGCATAGCAGGACAAATCGACAGGCTGGCTACGCTACTGGCTGGCTTCTTCATCACTCTTGAGTAAACTTGTCGGCCATTTTGTTTTTGCTACTCATCGTATTGCCGTATACGAGCTGATATACATTGAGTAGCTATATTATAACACTTTTTATTCTTTTTTCTGGATGTTATCTTTATATATTGATTAGCACTTCTTATTAAATGCAACACTGGTACACAAACAGTTACCTGAACACCTCTAAGAGCTGAGACTCCCATGTATATGAATAATCCGTACAACACCGGCAATGGGATGTACTAAACAAAAAAAAAGACGCTTATATTAACGCTACTTACGCTACTATTATTGTTCCGATCCTATTAAACGTAGCGCATATAAATCGCAGCGTATAATAGAGTATCTTTGTTTTAAAGTAACTAGAAACTATATTGAGCTGAAATAAACTATAGATATTCCGGCAAGGCTAACGTAGATTTTGATCTATAACACAAAATTATTGGCAGGTTTCTTAACGCAGATATACATGTAAGGCATTTTATTTCACAAGCGACTTCCTTGGAACATTTTTAACCCCAGTGATTTTAGCTTTAACTGTAGGCACTAAAGAATAATCGCTCTTGGGAACAACTTGTGTTTAATTTTTTGATGATTACGCGAAGCAAACTTTTCTGTTTGCAAAAACGATCCATAAACTCTAAAGCACATTAGTGCAAACTTAAATAGACGCTTTTCCTGGTGAGTAAATTAGTTAAACCTTTTGCAACATTATAAACGGGATTTTTTATTACACATGCATGGTAAAATCTAAGTTAGTCTTTTCTACATTAATGAACGGCGTTTATTCTATTTTGACAGATTTTATCAGCATTACGCTATATGAAATCAAACAGGTGTTTTTCTTTTGGCACACCTGATAGCAAACATTAGCGTCAGAAAATCCGATTTCTCGTGAAAAAAAATGAAAAATTCGACTTTTACCTTGAAAAATTTGCCAAGAAATACGGTGTTACCAACCATGATGAACACAAATAATCCAGTGACACGTTGCTCCCTAAAATAAAAATGTTATTCCAAAGCATCAATGACTTATAGTTTTTCATAAAAAGGAACAGGGATTTGGTTTTCTTATTTAGGGGGCGGAGGGGGGTGGGGTTAAAATTATAAAAATTAACATTTATAATTGGTACTGATTTTCGTTCACAATCCCCTGAAGTTTGTATCGACACTCCCATTTGCCCACATATACCCCGACTAGTACAGGGTTTGGGGACAAACCCTGTTCCCTTAAATATAGGGAATTACTAACCTAACTCCAAAAAACTTTGGTCTTTCTCCAGGCGCTGTGCACGTGGACTCAACAAACAAACTCCGGACATGAGACAGGGACTCGACAGTGGCAGCAACGACCCATGGTAGACCGAGAATGGAGCTAATGCCGATTCCAATAGCTACGATTGCGAGATCCAAATGATATCCAGCACCTTTCTAAATAGGGCATTATAATATATATCATAAATATCACTGACTCTATGTATTTAATTCTCCAAGGCGTTCTTCAACGGTGTTCAACGTTGCGAAATTTCCTATAAACACTAATGTTAAACACACCTTCAATTTATGCTCCCTTTTATTCACAATAACTGCAGTGATCTGTTGATCCATGAATACTAATATTGTTGTCAGCAGCGCTGGAATAGATGCTGCAATCAGAGTCCACCATGGGTTCTTACCAAGAGGTGCGATAAGCCAGCCACGAGCCTGAGCATTTGTTGGTTGAAAGTTTGTGGGAATGTTTAACTTGGGTGTGCTGACTTTAAGTGCAGCGTCGACTCCAACCATTACCATGACGGATATGATTACAGCAAAGTCGGACACCACCTTGCGCACCTAAACGACAATTGTGTTATAGTCAGGTTAAAGTCTACGATTGGCCACTAGCTGTGCGAGATTGCAAAACCTAATTTTCTATAGATAAATATCGAGTAGGAACGAAACGGAAAGTTTTCGGAGGAAAATTTTCCGAATGGAAGATTTTTCCGACGGAAAATATGCCGAAGACAAACTTGTAAAAAATTATCCTAATGGAAAACAGCCTCCATAAGCTGTTGCTATATCGAAAAAAAATTTAATAAGCAAGAAATTCCCAAGTAGTGTCTATTTCAAACTAAAAGAAATTTACTAACACAAGCCAATCAAACTTCGTGTGACATGACATCAACATGAGAAAGGTTTTTCTCGTTCTTTACGCTAATTTTGAAATTATTATACCAAAAGCAAGAGTTGAAATAAACAGAAGACATGTTGCGGTTAGAATGTAGAGGATTAATGCTTGAATCACAAGCTTTAGTTATTAATTTTCTAAAAATCAACTTTTTTGTGGAGTTTCCACAGAATTATTCTCTATAAGGTTTAGTTTTTGGTTCCTTCAATTTATCAATGTATAGAATCGCCTTGAACACGTGATCAGTATAAATAACGGCTCACTACAAACATATTTGACTGCATGCGGACTACGATTTTATCCACAATTTTGAACCAGATACATCTAGTATGTCACACGTACCTTGGTTGGAAAAAATCGTGAAGTTTTGAAGCTCTTCAATTTAATCACTAAGAAAAACGTCCCCAGGGTAAGAATGGTTGACAGAAGAAATATAGCACCACCACAGGCATCTCCTATAATTACTTCTCTCTTGTCGAGATCGCAGTTAAAAATCGTTTTGTTCGTCGGATAGTATTTCACTGTTGCATTTTTTGTTACATTATTGAACACCCTCCTTGGTTGCATGCATTCACACGATTGCCTGACCACGTGATCATTTGGTACTGGGTATTGCTCTGCTAACTCGTATAGTTTATGTGCTCCTTCGTAAATAAAGATCAAGCCGATGAGAGTGGCAAACGATTCTTCAGTGAATCGAGTGAAATATCGAACCAGCGCACTGCAGTCAGTGACCACGAGGATTACACAGTAGAAAGTGGTCCACAAACCAATCCACATACGGAATGGCATGTAATCCAATTCAGCTTTGTCACAAAAGTTATAGAGGATTCCTTCAAATACCAGCATTGGACCCGTGGCGCTAAGTATTATGAGAGGTTGACCAGAGAAAAGCGAGAATAGAACGCCGCCGATGGAAACGGCCAACAGCTGCTCCATGGCGCCCTAAAATGTACAAGTCTAATTGTCAATTTTAAGAAAGCAAAAATCGAAAGACATACCTTTGTTCCGGCCTGCATGCACTGAAAAACATATTCAGATTTAGCACATCTTTTTAATGTATAAATGTAAATGCGTGATAAAAGAAGTCAGACAGAGAAGGTTAAATAGTTTATACGTGACAATGGCCTGCAAGAGAAAGTGCTGTTGCCTTTTGTGGCCGATGCCATGCAAGCTCACTCTGCTGACTATCGGAAGTACAGAATCTTGCATGTCATCCAAATACATAACGTTTAAGCAGGTTGAAAAAATTACAATTGACGAAATTATATTTTGAATTAACATATATATACTTATATCGTTACAACTTAGTCGTAAAGAATGTTTTAATTCTACATCGTGATCGCGAAAAAAGAGAAAAAGTTAAACAATATCTAATTTATAGGACTTTTCCAGCTGAATTTGTATTTAAAAAGCATTTTAGGATTCTACTTTACGATTTATTCATCAAACCCAAACGTTTTACACTGTAGCTAACACAAAACAATTATACGCTCTTTCTTTGTTGAAAAAAGGTGAAATCTCATTACCATATATTTATTGGTCCTTGATTCCATCGCCCCTCCAAATGTGACAATGGGTGCCAGAAGAGCAAAGTAAATAAACAAAGCACTTGCTAAACACTGGCTGTTTAACGCGTCAACGTAATCTGATGTGTAGTACTTCGCCCTCCTTTTAACATCCATAATAAAACCACCACCAAACCTACAAGCACAGACAAGTAATTTTAGTCGGTTATATCAAGTGAAACCCAACACCACCAGTAATAAATTTCGGAATAGTCGTTTGAAGCTACATATAAATACATAGTTTTATTATTCACTAAATAAATATACAATCTCCGTTTTGATTGGTTAGCCACCTACATGCGAATAATTCCTGGTATTTGTAGCTATTACTATACGTCAAATTTACAAATAATTACTGGTATTTGCTGCAAATATATAGCTGCAAATATCCTGAGCATGCGCATTGATGTCAATTTTGTAAACCATAATAGCGACTCGAAAAAAAAACGCGGAAAATACCAAAAAATAATAAGATAAGTGAATGATAAAAGAATTATTGAACTCGGTTCTCGCAAAATATCGTGATTTGTCGGTGGCTCTCAGATCAATTATTTGCCTCTGCTTTTGGCATCATCGGATCTGCATAATTGGATCTGCTCGCCACCGACAAATCACGATATTTTGCGAGAACTCGTCCAATAATTGATTAGTATTTGTAGCTATGACGTCAAGTTAAAAAAAATTTCTGGTGTTCTGTCAAGCCTACAAATAATAGTTTCTAACTTCTAAGTTTCTACACAATTGTTGACGTAGCAAAAGCCGGTTTTGAAAGAATCAATAATCATAAAATAATTGTTAAATACAATCTAACAATCTAAAATTCAGCTTTCAATTCCACGCATCTACAGTATCTACGCCTAACCTACGAGTTACACATTGTGCTATACCAGTCCAAATATCTCACTACTTCGACACGTTGCGTGACTTGTACAAAGGCCCTTCTAGTTGATTAAAATTCTAGTTTCTAGTTGATTAAAATTTATTATTCTACTTTGTTGTTGAGTTCGAATATTCACTTCTGCATGAAGTGCAGAAGTGAATATTCGAACTGCATCCCATCTACTGCATCTACCCTGTGACTCTTGTATTCTGCAACCGAGAGTTAAAATCACGAGCATTTGATATGTAAGTATTTTAGTTAGTTGAGGTGAACAATAAATTCATTATCGGATTCGGTTTTCGCGTGATATTGAGAATTATCATGCAAGGCCTCGGTTGGTATTCAGCCTACAGCTTTGGCAGATAACGCCAACCTCTGGCTAGATAATATCACGCTCAATCTCACCGAAAAGTTATTTAATATTGGTATAGGCGATTTAAAAATAATGACATGTTGCAAAGGCTGTGCAAGAAAGGTCAATTATACCTATACCATAGAAATGTAGAACACCTCTTACCTTCCAGTTCTAACCAATTCATTATTCCTATGATCACCACCTTCATCTGCTCCTCCACCATTAGTCCCACTTCCTTTTGCCGGCACACCGTTCTCCCTTTTGCCTTGTTTGTCACCATCGCATGTATATTGTTGTACGCGACGGTTTTCTTGCGAGGGAACTGTTGCCGGAGGCTCTATACGTATAGATGGGTCCCATTCTCCGGGTGGTAACACTGTAACCTAAAATGAAATATCAATTCTTCCAATGAAATCAACATCGTCGCTCAACTGTATACACAAAGCGATTTGTTGCAGGATCTGTTGCCTGGTGTGTACCGACCTTTAGAAATACGATAGCTCTGACATAAATATGAAACCGAAGCAAAGTATATTTCAAGAGATATTAAGTTGTCGCAGACGTTTCCCGCGTCTTCACATCACCTGGATAGTACGTACGTTGCATGACATTCATCTTGGTACTTATATATAGTGCGATTTTAGAATCCTTTAGTCAAGTACGTATTATTTGGATTGCCAAACAGACAGCTAAAATATTGTCATATCTTATTCATAGTTTATTTTAATTCGATGAAATCACACGTAAACAGCCCCATGCACCTGATTTTAATAAAACCAAAATTATGCCAGGAGGGGGCAGTCTATGTGACTAGATTTAAGACGATTTGGTTAAAAAATGAAATATATGGCCACACTGGTGACACTTTTCCCCTTCTTCATCTAAATACCGATTGCAGACATACCTGCTGAAGGAATTCGTCAATGCCAGCGGTGATGTCTTCGCGACATGTGGCTTTGAAAGCAACATCATGAAATACCTAAACAGACCAAAGCAAACATTGAGAATCGTTTCGCTGAAGCCGAAGGGTTGTTGTTGTTGTTATTATTATTATTATTATTATTATTATTATTATTATTATTATTATTATTATTATTATTATTATTATTATTGTCATAAGCAATGTGAACAGTATCGATTCTTGCATGCCAGATATACAATCACTGACGTCTTTGAACTCGAAAAGGGAACAAAGCCTACAAAGACTTTTAGACAAATTAATCGTAAAAGAGAGAGATTGGATATCGTTGTTATGGTTACTTCATATTCAGTTTTTGAAAGCTTCTTTGAGTTTTGACAACGTAAACCATAAACGCCGGAGATATTTTCTGAAATTTTGTATATAGCTACTACAGTTTATTAAACTACCATTGCCTGATAGCTAAATTTGTGGTAAATTCTTATCACAAATTCGTAGACAATCAGACTGCATGCGTAACAACAGCTCACATACGGTAGGTATCTATTTTGTAATAAACAATATTCTGAATTCTAACAAGTATGCGACACCCACGTATCTGTTAGTCAAGCTAGCTCTTTACCTCATCAGCCATGAGTGTAGCAATCGCTCTTCCCACTTCATGGTAACGTCCTGGCTGTCCAGATGGTCCAAGCATGAAGAACAAGAATCGCGTTGGTAAAGGAACCTCCATCATATCGCCAAGAATTACAGCATCTTCCAGACGAACAAATGCATTCATTGGTTTACTAAGAAAGTCTGTTTCTCCCACGAGAACCATTGAACCTTCGGCTCCTGCCGGGATCTTTTTCATAAAATTTGCATCATACTTGCATGGAGAAAGAAAACGGATGCTGAATTGACACAATTTCATTTCGGAAAGTATACAAGTGAAAATAAGAAATTGCGGCCCTATTGTTAGATCCTGCTTGTATATTGGGTGAATTTCATATGTATCTTATGTGTAGAACGTGTACGAACGAAACCAACCAATCCAGCAACCAGCTAGAAATCATCATCTACGTATTTGTGTACCTTGGCACATTCTGGATCAGAGTCATTGGCGGCATCTTCAGTCGCAACGTCTTGCGCAATCAACGACACAGCAGTTGGTACATTTGGAAAATCGGATTCAGGTGTTTCAATTTCTTGCAGGCGAGTCCCTGACTTAGTAGGATTATTATCATCGCTGTTATTGTCACCACCACCTAGAATATCGTTAGAAAAATGGTTTCATTTTTTTTGGTAAAAATCAAATATATAAACATAAACTACATACAGCCAGAGAGGCGCAGCCAGATTGATTATAGTACATCGTTTGTATCACCTTTTTCATATTTATTCATCTCTTTAGAAATTGAATTATTTTAAATTTACCGACAATTTATCTTTAATTTAAATGTTGTGAATTTATTTTAAGTTTACCGAAATTGTGGATAAACCTTACATGCAATCTTTACAAATTTACATTCACGCAGCGTATAGTTGTTTCTTTAAAGTAATGCTTTGATTGCGAAGAGCGAGCATGAAAGCATGTTTTAAAATGACAACGAATGAACTCATGCGCGCCGAAAGTTTAATGGAAAGGCCACAGTACATGGATCCGCTAGTTTTACCTTTATCAGTATTACTTTGTGCAGCGCTGGTTTTTCTTGTTCCTTTTAATGATGGAAGACCAGTCTTCCTTTTCTGTGTGCTTTTTCTTCTTTCATACAAATGTCTGTGTTTCTTTAACAAAATATCTCTGACTCGAGGTCGTAAGCCTACATCAAGCTGCCTCGTAGCGACCAAATCATCAAGAACAATATCTATATAAATAAATAGCACAAATGATTGGGGATGAAATAGCACGACTTTGAATTTAAATCAACATTAATTCTGCGAGAGGCTGAGAGCGGATACAACCATTATAATATCCAACGTGTGACAATATTTTTGCAAAGACAGTTTTTCCTAATATCCAATTAGGGCACATACAGGGTGTCCCAAAAAAAAGTCCACTCTATTGAAATGAAGCCTTTGTTGATTTGAATGCACGATCAACGCAGTAGTGTGTAAATAGCATAGTTATTAGGTTGAGGCGTTCAAATAAAGCGTCTTGCTTTCAATTGGGTTTATCATAATATTAAGGCACTCAGATTCTAACAAAGGCTTGATTTCAATAGAGGGGACTTTTTTTTGGGACACCCTGTATAATAAATGACAAAATTCATTTTAAAATCTATGAATTCTAAGGCCTCCCTGCATATATGTACAATGCATGTTGAACTTAAATATTATAAAACGTTAAATGTGGCTATGATGGCTAACTCGAGCGCATTGATAGCTAGTCATAATACACGGTCCGAATTAGATTCCTGCTACTTTTTTGTTATTGAACCCCGTTTGAATTGAATACAACTGTGCATGGTAACCTGAAGTAATCATCTGCTGCATCAATAACTTCCAAACTTTTATTATCCAAGTATTGCTATCTATATACATGCAGCAGTCAGACAGCTTTTAGCATAGTACAGGAACTACATTAATTATCACTTACCTGCTATTTGAGATATTGTAGTTGCATTTAAGTCAAGCAACACAGTTCCATTAAGAACGCAACTTCGCAGTTCAAATAAACTATACAGAGATAAAGTGGCCACGTGCGGTTTACTCCATCGATTGCCACCTTCTTCAACATCTTCTTCAAATTTCAGCCATCTCGCTGTCTCCTTCCACTCTTCTTCTCCAGCTGCATCACAACACAATTCATCCATTTCCGTAAAGATCTGACGTTCAACATCATTGTCATCACCTCCAAGAATGAATCGAACTCTGTCAGCTGGGGCCTGGTGACCTATAATGTGAAAATAATGTAACAAAAATGTAAAAAATATTACCGCGATTTCCCTTTGATCAAAATGCTGTTAAATACGCAGTTAATTGGTTATAGCTGGTTAAAACATGCATATTGGCAGGCACGGGATGATGCGAAGGCAAAGGGAAACAGGATTTCGTGGAAGGGCAATTCTGTAGCGGCGCATACTAAAAAATGTGAAACTTCACTTCATCGTGTTCTCGCCTTCCAAGACAATTTCGGGATCGGAAAGTTTTCCACCAGGGGCCGGTTGTTCAAAAGCAGGTTAAATTGAACCCTGGGTTAGTGCTAAACCTGGGTTAAAATTCATTACCCTAGGTTAGCTAAACCTGGATTAAAACTGTGTTGTTCAAAGCAGGGTTAGCGGTAGGGTTAGTTAACCCAGGGTTAAAATATTTAACCTAAGATTAAATGTATTTTAAGGACTAAATTGGATATAAGAACGTTTTCGATTGGTCAATAAACGAGCGTCCAAAACTTTACTCGACGAGGATATATTGTCAGTCGAAAGATTTTATGCCGTGAGGGCAAGGTCGCAGGGACGTTGTTTTGAAGAGCATTTTCCGTGCATGGAATTTTGGATGGATTCGAAATGAAAGGCCATTTTGTATGATAAACAATATCGATGTGAAATAAAATTAAGCAAATTATAAACAATCTATTTTAAAATTTCAGGCATTCTTTGATTATTTAAAATTCAGGAACAAACGTAGCCTTACCACTTGCTGCCAATCAAAAGAATCAAATTTTGATATCCGAAACAAATATTTCGATTACGATGTTTCAATTTGTACGGTTGTATTCATTTATCGTGTATTGCATTGAAGCGAAGGTATATAAATCAATACATCAGCTGAAACCGAACGAAGTCAAACTTTAATAATTCTTTGCTGTCGAAATTATTCGTAAAACCTTTCAAAAGTGTTTAATTCATGACGAATTATACGTGTTTACGTGTTTCAGCTCTTTATTCATCCATTTTGAATCGCAGTTAACCCAGGATTAAAAAGTTAAACCACCTAGCTAGCAGGGTTAATTTTTTTTATCAATTTTAACCCAGGGTTAACGCTAACCGAGCTTTGTGCAACGCAAATCAACCAAGGTTTAAAATTTAACCCTGGGTTAGGCATTTTTAACCCTGGGTTAGCGTTAACCGACTTCTGAACAACCGGCCCCAGACGATTGTGCTACGTTGATTAAAGCTCGTTCGTTCCACTTCTACTTAATAACAATAAGACCTTGTAATCCTTTAAAATGAAAGGGCATCTTTGTCCCCGTTGCCCTTGCTGGTGAAAGACAAGGGAAACTGCCGCCTCTACTGCCCCTCCCTGCGTATCGTTACGGGTGTTCTTCAATAGTAAGGTTTCGTTATGAGGACATTTTGTCCCTTACCAGCTGTTCCATTTTGTGGTTTGTTTTGTTTGTTTTTTGTAGAGTTACTTCTTCCTGGTTTATTCTTGCTCACGGACGGGTAGTGATGACTGCGGTGATGATTTCGACGTGCCCGTGTCGGTTTGATTGGTATGTGAACCCCAACGTACACTTGTCGATGATCTAAACGAAGATCATGAATTGCAGCAATTAAGAAGGTATAACAAACCAAATTACGATATGAAACTGCAAATTAAACACTGAATTATACTAATTTATTATAATAGCCCAGGGCTATCTTACTCAGAATCTATGAAAAAGGAAAATACCCGAACGATTGACCATGTTTTATGGCCCAGTTTACACTGTCAAAGTTGCCTGTGTTTACAGTTGAAATTCAAAATACGCATTGGTAAATCTCAAGTTCTATATGTTTTGCAGCGAGTATCATGATGAAGAAACTCGATCAGTGTTAGCATAACCACTGTTTTAGTTTCCGTTAGTGTTTCTGCTGTAAACACTTTGAAACCTATAGATTTGCCAACTGTGATCATAGAAAATGCATGACAGTGTAAAATTTGATTTCGAGTTCATTGTATGTTCAGCAAGTGCGTTTATTTGAAAAAAAAAACGAACATAAAGTCTTGAACACTTTCGATATACAATCTGAGTTCATTGATCATGCTGCATAGAGGATTGAATAAACCACGGTTTTCATGGGTTATTGCGAATAAACCACGATTTTCATGGGTTATTGCGAATAAATCATGATTCCCATGATCTGTGGCCAGGCCACAAGAAACCACGTGATTGATTTTGACCAATCGCGTGAGTAAATTTAGGCCAATGCACGAAGATTGTATATTAAACACCATTAAAGACCTTTCCAACCTAAAGATAATTGCAATGTTGCATGTGCCCTACTTTGTGCGATTTTTTCCAGAAAGTATCAATTGACAGTTATCAAGGTTTACCATTTCTTTTGAGTTAAAATGTAAAAATAGAATAGATGATATATAATCCAAGACAACTAGTTAGAAGCGTGCCAGATTTCAAATAACAAACGGACAATCGCGCTTACTTAACTGCCGAAAATAAACGTAATATCAAATTGCATATGTCAATTTAAACAATAATCCAAACGATAAGTCGATTGTAAAGTAATTAATGCAAAGCTTTCTGTTAATCTGATGAAGGAGATGAACCTGTTTGCCTACTCGGCACTACTGCCACTAGCCCACTACATATTTTCGTTAGACTTGCTCAAACGGTAAAATTGTTCTTCATCAATCACGAGAAATAACGATCCCTAATTTTAATAAAAAAAAATTGGAAAAATGCGTGAAAGAATAAAACGTCATTGCTTTGATTTAAAGCGTTGACAGCAGCAATTTAAAAGATTAATGAACATGTACTCATGCATGCATCCCATGCATGCATTAGAAAGATTGAAATAGGATTAGTTTGTGCTTTTAGAGTGTAAATTCGTAGAAATACTATAGACTGATCTCTTATTTTATATTACAGAGTTGTTGTATACAGATTATATAGAGGTGTTCTTTGTTATACTAGCAGATTTCAATAAAACCCCGTAAAATTTGTTTCTTGGTATAGACAAAAATTATACATAATTATAGTAATAACGATAGGAGATAAGAGTTCAAAGCTTCTCAATATTTGATAGCATATCCATACATGCATGTAATTGTGGAACAGTAGAGTTCTGTGCGTTATTAAGATAAAAAACTCATTTTAAAGAATCCGGATAAAAAATCTGGAATTCAAGTTCCTTCTTCTAATCACAGGATTTAAAATTAGGCTATTAAATGCTGGTCAACGGACAATGCATGAATGACTATTTATGGATAATTCGCTGCCTAATCTAGCGATATATGAATTTATTTATATTTGAGTTACCACACGATGGTTTCTTCAAAAGCGCTTCGGTATCGCACTAACAATTAATTTATGTTGACGACAGTAAAGACTCTTTTCCACTTATCGCAAAAGACGCAAAACTCACTCACAAGCTCGCTGCGAGTGCTGGCATGCATGCATGTAATTAAAATCAACCCAAATGCATCTTCACTGGATGAAAACCCTCGCAGCGAACTTTGGTTCGCCATAACGATGAGCGACACAGGAGAATCTGTGTGTCTCAAATAATTTGTGAAATTCATGTATGTATATTAGTAAAAAACAGATTTTGGCCGGGCTAAAATGACGTTCACTGCTGACTTTGATCCTCGCCGTTATTTTGAGCCCTGCATATACACGACCTATATGCTAACATGCTGCCGACTTTCGGCAAAAGACATATCAGCTGTGGTTTCCGCAAGCGTTAATACACACCACTCATTTCTTGCCCTGCCCACTGAATATAGAGTTACATGTAACGTCTTTGTTACAAATTCATCAAGGTACAACTAACTCCTCCGTCAAGAACAGCAAGAAATATAAACATATGTGATGTTACAGTACATGAAAACTAATACGAGCTGGTGATTAAAAACACAATCAAAAGATTAACATCTTGAAACACAAAAGATATAGCCTAATATAGCGGTTAAAAACAAATTCGTTAATCAACGGATTCTTGTCTTGTTTCGTACATGTTATAAACCTTTTGAATTATGGCTAGATTATGCTTTGTTTTGCATTGCGTGATGTTCGTGGGCATAATTGAATACATTACATTATGCTGATTTGAAGCCACGCGAAGGACGAGAGGCCTTAGAATGATCTTCATGAAGGCCCAAAACATTAAACTCTATATCAAATTTCAAGAACATCAATATAGGTATGACGTTTGGAATATAGTCGGTTATCAGTGGCGTAGCTACCGGTCCTGCTCGTCCTGCCCAGCAGGACTAAAAATTTCCCCAAAATTTTGAAAAAACCACTCCAAAAAAATTTATGAAATATTTTTGAAGCCTAAGCCTTATAAATTCCGCAATTATATTTTTCGATTCGTTTCTAGCAACAGTTACCACTCGGAAGCTCGCGCCCGCAAATATAATCGATCCCACGCATTGATGCTTCAGGCCTAATAACATATATGACATATATATGATATATATATATATATATATATAGATCAATGGCTCACTCCTGCTATTTTGCCAAGGCAGGAGCTGCTATAATATTCTATAGAAGAAAATACTCAATTCTGATTGGATAAATGGCCTCTTACTCACTCATAATTGGCTGGTTACAACTCCGCACTCCTGCTATCTCGACAAGGCAGGAGCTGCATATTGTATTGCCTTTTCTTGCGAGGTTTCCGCGTGAGTACACACACTTGAGCGTAGTTTGCATAGTTATTGTCTTTGAGCGAGTGTTTTTGTAATGGCTTCAGCAAGCGTGACGAATCTAGCTTCAACTGAAGCTGATATCATAAATTCTTTGTTAAGAAAATCATTTTCTGTTCGAGCAACCGCGGAACAAAATGTTATTGTTAAGCAAAGGCCAATGCCGAATTTGAGTATTAGTGCGAGAGGGAGATCTTTTCAAATGGCTTGGTATGAAAAGAAGGATTGGCTTTGTGGCAGCACAGAGTTAAAGAGATTATTTTGCTGGCCGTGTCTTTTGTTTTGCCCTGGAAAGTCGCCGACTTGGAGCAAGAATGGTTATAGCGACATGCATGGCTTCCTCTCTGATTGCAAAAAGCATGAAAAGGCGAAGTCACACATGGCTGCTTTCAAGACCTGGAAGACGTACGGTTCCGGTGCTCGAGTGGATTCTCTTATCTCCCAAGCAAGAAGAGACGAGATACAACGCCACAATGAGGAGGTAAGGCAAAACAGAGAAATTTTAAAAACCATAACCGAGGCTGTTTTGTATTTATCCAAACAGGAGTTGGCGTTTAGAGGCCATGATGAATCTGAAGATAGCTTGAACCGCGGTAATTACAGGGAGTTACTCGAGTCCTATGCTAAGTTAGATTCTGTATTTGAACGACGATTGCATGGCAGACTAGCTGAATCTGGTCAGGGTGGAGATTCACGTTTCACTGGGGTCTCTCCTGAAATACAAAATGATTTAATCTGTTGCCTTGATTCCATTATTGAAGATACTATTTTTAAGGAGATTAACGAGTGTACCTTCATCAGTGTGCAGGTTGATGAAACTTCTGATGTCTCAACTAAGGAACAGGTAAGCATGATAGTCCGTATGGATAAAGGTTGTGAGATAGTAGAAAGACAATTGGGATTTGGAGATGTCAGCACAAAGAGAGATGCTGCTGCCATATCCCAGTTTGTGAAGGATAAGCTTAGTCCCCATTCCAACATCAAGGATAAATTAGTGATGCAAACCTATGATGGTGCTGCTGTTATGTCTGGTCATGTTAGTGGTGTCCAGGTTCGAGTGCGTCAAGATTATCCTTTTGCATACTTTGTTCATTGTGCAGCTCACAGATTAAATCTAGTTTTGTGTCAGTCTGCCTCATCTATAGCCCCTGTTAAAGTTTTCTTTGTTGATATAGGAGCATTTTGTACTTTTACTAGTAATGCCCCTCAAAGAAAAGCCTTTCTTAATTCTCATCAAATAGAGTTCCCCAGCCCTGGTGATACTAGGTGGTACTATCGATCTCGTGTGATAAGTGTCTTGCATAGAAATTACCAGAAACTTCATGACATTTTTCTTGGAGAAGTGGATGAGCCTGGGAGCTGGGATGGAGAATCATTGGGAAAGATACATGGTTTGCTACATAATATTAGTAGTTTTTTGTTTTGCTTTTTGGTCTGTGTTTTTCAACAGATTTTCCAACAATCATCAATCCTATATGAAATTCTGCAAGGCCAACAAACTGACTTTAACTATGGTATGGTAAGAATTCAGCGTTTTGTAACCTTTGTTTCTTCTCTTCGTAGTGATGATAAATTTTCTGAATTATACCAAGAAGCAGTAGATATATTGGGCCCACCAGAAAGCAGACTTGAGAAAAGACACAACCATAAGCAAATTTATTTTGAGATTATCGACTCCATTGTTAGTATGATGAATGAGAGGTTTCAGGATATGAAACAATATGCATTTTTAGATCTTGTCAATCCAAAAAAATTTGCATCTTGGGGTGGGGTGGTACCACCTGAGAAAATTAATTTACTAAAAGAGATGTATGGGCCCCTTTATGATATCTCCATGCTTGAAAGCCAACTTTCTTTATTTACAGGGATCAGGATTTTCATAAAGACACATGTAATGAATTACTAACCTATATTTTTAAGTTTAATCTCCAATCTAGTATTCCTGAAGCTGTCAAATTAATGAAAATGAATGTTGTCTTGTCAGTAACTAGTGCTTCTGTTGAAAGGTCATTTTCCTGCTTGAAAAGGGTAAAGACCTATTTGAGAAATAGAATGAGTCAAGGGCGCCTTAGTTCTCTTTGTAGGATTTCAATCCATAGAGACATTCTAAAAGAAAAAGAAGATGCCAATGTGCTACATAGTGAAGTTGTGGAGAAGTTTGTGGAGAAGCCAAGGAGACTTGCCTTTCTTTACAAATAGTAGACAGGTTAAGTATAAGAGACATTAGCTGTTGAATGTAAGTATAACTATTTCATTACTAGTTCATCCCTGTTAAATGGGTTCAATTTTTATAATTCATTCATCATGAGCAGTCCTTTGTGCACTCTTGCACCTTATTGTAATAGCCTGTTATATAAAATATTAAAACTTAAAAAAATTATTTGTATGTACATTTAATTGGTCCAAGGGGAGATATTCACTGCTGGTGTGGTGACCCCATGGGCCATCTGTTCACACTGTATTGAATAGTTACTATTCATTCATTAATTGCTTATGAGTTATGAGCAGTTTTTTGTGCACTCTTGCACCTTTTCACTTCATGTAATATATGTTTTAAAGAAAATATTAAAATCATAAAAATATATTCTTCTAATTATAATAATAATAAAAAATCTTTACAGAGGAAAGCTTCCATCACCAATAGTGCTTTTCAGGAAGGTCCTCTAAATTGGTTCTAGGGGAGATATCCACAAGTGTGGTGACCCCAATATATAAATAATGGGCCATCCCTGTTCATATTGAATTGAATATTTACTTTAAATTCATGTATGAGCAGTCCTTTGTGCACTCTTGCACCTTTTCATTGTAACCTATGTGTTTAAGAAAGTATTAAAAACATATAAAATCTTATATATTTTTTCTCTTAATGGGGAGATACCCACACTTAAGGTGTGGTGACCCCAATAAATATTCATTCATCATGTATGAGTGGTCTTGCACCCTTGCATAGTTGCACCTTTTCACTGCAATATACATATGTGTAATGTGTTTAATAGTTCTTAGTGACTTCTTACTTCTTTTGCATTTACCATTCTGTTCATACTGATACTGTATTAGATATTATCTATATTCTTACTTTTCATCATGTTATGAGCAGTTACTAGTGCATTGTGCACTATTGTACGTTTCATTGTTCTCTGTTTCTTCATTCTCGTTAAATGATATTTTGAAAACAAGGTGACATCGTCTTTGTCAATCGTGAGCCAATTTGCGCTAAGTGTGTGTACTTGCAATTTGAAAATAAAACGAGGAGTAATGGGCCATGGCATATTTAGTTGCAGCAATACAGAAATGCAATTATGCAACTCTTTTACTTTCTGGCTATGATGAGTGTTGTCTATTTGACTTCTACAGTGCAAAAGCTTTATTCTCTGAGCCATTTATGGTCTATCAGAGTTGCAGGGTTAGGGCAAATTTTTTGTTGATACTGCCCCCAGAACGCCGCAAATGCTGTTTCCAGGCTTCCAGATATCAAAAATTTTCTGGGGGAGCATGCCCCCAGACCCCCCTAGGATGCTCGCACCTTCGGTGCTCGATGAGCAGGACCTTCATCGAGGTGCTGGCTACGCCACTGTCGGTTATTGATAAAGCAGTATAGTGCATTGGCTTCAGCAGATTTGCTGCTGATACTTCCATCAAAAGTGAATTGGATCCGACTAAATTGGATCGTGTGATCAGACATTAACAATTTCAAGAACCATTGATATAAGTAATATTACACAACATTATAACTATGTCTATAATATACAAATAATAAACGTAGTGTTGTGTAAACCTTCTAACGTCATTAGATTTCTGATTATATGTTAAAAACGAAATATTGCTACATTGGTGCTGAATGTTCGGAATTTTTCGGAAAAGCCGAAATGTTCCTTTTACATTATTTTATCAGTCTCGCGAAATTCTCCTTCGTCACGAGCGTGTTCCGGCGATGAAACACGACGATGTGTATACGCACGCAACGTTAATTGGTAACGACTGAGCGAATTAACTCTTTGCACACACGACATATTGCATCATTATGGCTTAGTTTATTTATCAAGGCATTAAAGTCAAGATGGGTCAAGGGCGAAAACCGCACAACGCTCACTTTCATGAGATTTGGTTGTTTAAGTTTGTGAATTACATCAATTATTAACTATTATAAGCATGCCAGACTTTGCCAGTGTAGCGACAGATAAGAGCTACTGACGCCACGACTGCACGAGGTTGTGTGAATTTACATGTAATAATATACTAAGTTTATTAATAACCCCTCTGAATTATAGCGAATGACTTTTGACGACAATTGTTAATGATATTTTAACCGTTTTATGTAAATAAATATATTGTTATCGTATGTCACCAACTTAAAACCAACACTAACAGCGTATATCGACATTTGTATTTTTAGGTAGCTTAGAGCGAATAGAGGTCCAAAAAGGCAACAAGCTTGAAACGGATGTCGACCAGCTGGGGGTTATATGTACGTCATTCATGATAAAGGCTACTTTTAAAGCCAAAACTATTCTTTCTCATCTGCACAAATTATATAACCAGAAAATATTTTAATAGACAATATCCATAGTAACAAGACATGATTAATGGGAATGCTATATACCTAAAAAACTACTATTTCACTGCAATTACTGATGAAAAGCCTACTGTATAGAAAAAGCAACCTACTTGATAATATATTTCTGTATATGTGAAAGAGTGAAAAGTGTAAAAGCCTGCCAATTTTTGAATTAAATAGTTCATATTTTATCTATTGCCAGGTAGGCCAGGTTAATAACAATTTGACATTTGAAAACTGCTGAAGCCATCAATAGGCAAGTGCAAGAATTCAAGATTGTAAACAATCCTTATTAGCAAACCTATGGCTCCTTGAGGTGTTTAAATGGCAATTCCACTAAATCAAGACTAGATTTCATGTAAATGCTTATTTACATTTCATAGAATTGATAGTCTTGAACAAGTCTGTAAGGTGGTGGTGATTATATTGGTTGAATTCCATCTTTGGAGAAATAAGAGTGAAGGGGATTTATTTATTATTATTAAGGCTGTATTAAGCTGTACATAGTATAGATGCATATGTTGGGGCTAAATATATACATTGTGTAAATGTCACTACATTTTCCTGACAAAAGAAGTTTTGTCGGAATGAAAATGTCAAATCTGCCCCACCTTGGGATGCGGGTATTTAGGTGTGCCTACATCACAGTCATGTGGGGTACCTGACATTTTTTAGTTTAGAGATCTTAAGTCTTCAAGAACAATTTAATTTATTTGGAGGGTAGAATGTGATGATGACAAATGTAAATAACCAGTTGAGTATATATATTAAGCTCTAAGCCTCTTAAAATTCACACCTTTTGTCATGGTAGGTAAAGCCAAGGTATAGCTTCACTAGCACCTAATATTAAACTGCTGTATTTTTTAGTTGTATTTTGATCATTATAATCATAACTCTAACTCCTACTTTGGCTGAATTGCACTCCATAAAATGTATTTATAAACAGAATTTATACAATGTGTTTGGCATAATCTATAAGTTGGAACTTGGGTATCGTCTTAACCTATTAACCACCAATTGGACTAATACATTTTTCTTGAATGTGTGACAAAGGAGACAATTGTTCTTGGTTGATGAACAGGGGCCGGTTGTTCAAAAGGCGTTTAGCTTAAACGGTGGATAAGTTAAAAATGGAAAACAAAATTATCTATTTATTCAACAACCGAGCTGAAATATTTCAATGTAAATAGTTTAATTGTCAATGGAAGTACATATTAAATGCATAAGATGCAGGTCCAGTCATTCACAAGATGCATGAGAGTATTTTTAAATTTTGGCTTACCCACCGTTTAAGCTTAACGCCTTTCGAACAACCGGCCCCAGGACTGAGTGAACAATGTTATGCTATCCTCAATAAACCTCAACAATTCAACAACTTGCAACATTGCTGTGTGTCAATAAGTTGCAAAAGTGTTGAAAACCACATTCACTGTGTGCAGCACAAAATTGTCCACAGTCAAGGTTTAAATGGCCAAGAACATGTGATTTTTACCAGTGTGTACATGTATAACTAAGCACTTCACTTAAGCACATGATAGCTTTATATTCTGTTGGATAAATACTAACACTGTTGATATTTCACGATGAGTGGAGTGACAATTTCTAACATTTATGCACTGTTTGATAATTTGTGGCACATAGCAGATAACACGTCTTAATGTTTTTCTTGTAATACAAAGTTATCAGACTTATCTTAAAAAAATAGTTCCGAGTAGAGACAGCCAAAGAAAGGGTGATATTCATTTTACTATATCATTATATAAGAATAATAGGAGAACGTACCCAATAGGGAATTATATAACTCAAGAAATAATGGCTAAATAGCAAGTACTGTAAAAAGCTGCAGAACAATTGTTTTGCTAGAAATGGCTATATAATTACACTCTTTAATACATTAACAACTTGAATTGAACATCTATATTTAGTCAAGACTAGAAGACATGAGAGAATTCAGTTAAAAAATGGAACCGACTATCACAAATAAAATCGGAACTCGGCAGTAAACGTAAAATTTTCAGTCATGCCGCATTCAAAACAGACGAAATGAACTACAGATAGTGGCACTTTTTATCGTCAATTATAGCGTGAAAATATACAAGTTACTGACGCATTCGTACGTTATTCGTTTATGCTCAATAGGAATTGTATAAAATTACCAACCTTTTATTTCGGTCTCATCGACTGCGATAGCGTATTGTCCTACTGGGTCAGGGGTGTCTCTTTCTTCCCCAAGTCTTTGAAGCAGGGAACTTGTTCGCGGCTATATTGAGATAAATATACAAAGTAATTTATAAGCGATCTTAACAAATTGTCAATTTGGGCCTTTTCATACCCTTCTTCCCGGCGAAGGAAGCTGGCTTGCTTGGTTGTCAAACGGATCGAGGTTATCGTCTTGGCCTTCTTGGGCAGTTTCTTTGGCTGACATTTTTGTTTAATGTTTGAAATCTGCCAATCTAGCCTCTTCTGCTTACAAACTCTAAAACACGAAACCCTTATATACAGCTGTTTGTGTATTCAATAAAAGGGTCGATTTTAATGTAGAAGTTGTTTCGCTCGTTGCATATTCATAATAAACATCACGGCTTCTGAACCAGATTAAATAATAACCAGAAGTGTCACTCAGCGAGTGCGTTACGTAACAAGATTTAGTTCTTTGCCTTTCTGCCAGATGTATAACTGGAACGCTAACTTTTAGCCGCCGTTAATATGATATCGGGTGGTGACACCCTAGCCCCGAGACAACTTTACCAAGCGTTTATATGGTAAAATTGCAAATAGGAAGCGATAGTGTCTGCTTATCTGAAATTTTCTATTCGCCTTTGCGCACGCACCGCCAGGGAAAGTTAACCCTGGACTGGTCCCTACCAGAACCCGTAAACAGTGTGTCCCTACCCCCAGGGCGAACCTACTAGCCAAGGAGAGTTTGAAACCTTTTATATAAATACATGTGTTGCAGCTGCTATAATATGCCAATATGCCTTTAGTACCGCGCCTTAGGGGCTGTTTACACGAGATTACCAAAGACGGGTTACCAAAATAAAGATGATTTCGAGGTACTAAAATAAGTCGTTTTGAAACAAAACAAGCGGGATGATGATCGTATCACTGGGTCGGGGTAAAACGCGGGTACGGACGGACGGATGACTTGTTTTTCTATAAAACATGTGTTAAAGTCATATCCGCGTTTTACCCACTCGGGTAAAACACGGATATAGTATAAAATATACTTCTCGCGTGTTCTAAAGTCATATCCACGTTTTATCCAATCGGGTAAAACGCGGAAATAGTATAAAGTATATAATAGTATATAGTTTCTGTTTACATATCCTATTGCTCCGACAATTTGACATTCAAATATAACACATGGACAAGACTTTGTATTGCCGCAACTAAAGATAGCGGTTCACACAATAAACTAAATAAATACAGCTATAGTAGTAAAAACTCCAAAGAACAATAAACCGAATTTAGATTCAAAGTGTGTGTGTGTAGACTTTATCATCGTTCGATGGAATCGGTTTTGTCATTTTTGATAGACTCGAAGGCCTGTTCTATCTTCTAAATTTGGGCACGTTGATCAGCGAACTTAGAGGTCAAATAGCAATAACGCACCACTAGGTTATTTCGCTTTGCGGTACAACAGCGTTCGATATTCAGGCCTTAGAAACATGTTGTTTTAACTGATGGGATTTATGCGCTACTTGTGTCCCACCCATCTCCACACAAGAGAAGCGTAACCAAAGAATCACATGACCAGCCTTAACCAGGGTCTTCGCCGCAGCGTGGGCCGTGGAGCGAAGAGGGACATGTCGCAGTGCTCGGAAGCTTTCGTCCAATTGGATAATGCTTTTCTGTGCTTTCTAAAGAACGAAGCTATGCTATTGGTTGAAACAGAAATGTACTGTAAAGTTCAGCCAATGAAATCATTCTTGCGAGGAGCTGCGACCCTACCCGTAGAAGAGTCGGGCCTGCGAGGTTGGTTAGTTGCTTGCGTGACCCATCCCTCCCATATCCGTAACGGCTCCACATGATTTTAGTGATCGGTTCTGGAAAGGCGTCTATTAATCTCGCTGCTCTTTAGCTTTTTTGCAGGGTTAAGCACAGTTTGTAGCCTTTTCTTCGTCGGATGCTGTTTGGGGTAAGAGGTATAATCGATAATGATCGCTACAGGTATTTTTTTTTGTGTGTGTGCTTTAAAGTTTGTATCGTTTATTCCACGGTTTCACGTAAGTGACTCACGTGTGACAGTTGATCACGGGATGGAGGAGGTACCGTTAAATAGCCTGGTTCGTAGAGTTATTATCTGCGCCGAAAACAGCAAACTCAAAAGAAACACAGTTTCACCCCATCCCTCCCGATTATATAAGAGTGTAAAGTTATATTTAGATTTTGAGTTAGTTGAATCACCGAAGGATACATAACATACATACATAAACAATTTATTTACTGACGCATTTCTCATCATCATTAAATTGATGTTCTTCCTGAGAAGCGTCACAGAGATAAAAACATATTTACAAAAAAAATAAGACTTTAAATGGTAGGTTTCTTAGAAGGTCTTTGATAATAATTATTGATCAAACTAGCTAGGCTTCAAGATGCCTTTTAAAAGCACTTAAAGTAGTTGATAGCTTTGCATTTGTAGAGAGCGAATTCCATGTTACAGCCCCACTATACTTAAAGGTTTTTTTTGAGATATTCGCTCTTAGGTTTAGGGATAATCAAATCAGTTTCCCTATTTCGTAATTCATAGTTATTTTGCATATCATTCATTCTAATAAAGGACGCCCTTAGGTTGGGAGCAGTGTGGTTATTTAATACTTTAAACATTAAAATAGCCTTAGTTTTGTTAGGTCTTTCTTCAATATTTTCCAAGACAGAGCCTGGAGGATATCAGAGGAACGAGTTTCATAAGATGCCCCTGAAATAACTCTTGCAGCTGCTCTGTTTTGAAGCTTTTGGAGTTTATCTGTTAACACACTGCCACATTTATCCCACAGTGGCGAGCAATAATCAAAATACGGTAATATTATTGAATTATAAATATTCAATAAAGTTTTTTTCATTACGAATGGTTTAGCTCTCCTCATTACTCCGATTCCGGATCCAATCTTGGCGCAAATGTGCTCAATATGTTTTCCCCAGTTTAGCTTCTCGTCAAGTTGAACCCCCAAACACCCAAAGAAGGAGAAGCGAGTGATAGGTATATTTTTAATCATAACTTGTGCATCATCAATTTTGTTTTTAAGATTATAATTTGAGCCGATAAACTTTAATTTCGTTTTCTTGGGGTGGAGTTGTTATTTATTATTGGGGAGCCATTTGCATATGTTCTCAAGATCCTGATTAAGTTTACTTACTAGTTCATTAAAGTTTCTCGACAATGCATATATTTCGGTATGGTCAGCATATAAACCGGGTGTAGTAGCCTCAAGACATGCAGTCAGGCAAATCATTAATATATAATAAAAATAGTAAAGGCCCCAGAATCAATCCATTCCTTTAGAACGTTAAGCTACACTAAAATGTATATATATGTTTATGAATCGTTGAATGATTAGTTTTGTTAATTTTGGAAAGATGCGATATAAATTTAGACTATTCTGATTTAAATAGTTGATACTTGATATTCACATTACAAGGCTAACGTTCAAATATAGTTAAGGGCCCATGCAAAATTTATGTATATACGGAGCAAGTCAATTCTAAATGTTAAAAAAATGCAAGTCCCTCTTGAATTGTCGTTTAAAAATCTCAAGCCCCGCTCTGAAGTTCACTAAAAAAGTTACTGCCCCGCTATCGTCAGTATACAAAGAAAGCTTATTCTTTCTGTTGAAAACAGGTGGACTATAGTGCACTTTTTATATAATTCAATAGCTACGTTTTTATATGAGAATAAATCGCTATATAATAATAATATTATAACGTAGTATCAATAAACAAAAAATGAGACTGATTGATCCACAGAGTATGTAAATTTATGATTCAATAATGGGCATGGTTCCAATGTTATAAAGCGGCGCGAATATATATAGTGCAAAATAATAGACAAATAAAAATCTTCTTATTTGCATATAGATTAGCCCCATGAAATTATATTAAGAACTTACTGACTGAGAGTGAGGTCTGTACGGTAAAATATCAAACCGAGGTCGTGCCGTATTGACCGAGCGATAGCGAGGTCAATACACCAAGACCGAGGTTTGATATTTTACCGTACAGACCGAACAGTCGAAGTTAGTAAGTTTTTTATTATATGGCATAATTCATGCAGACATTGTAATGATTAATTCCTTATGAGTAATTTTTATGATCAATCTCATCCGGGCACACGACACCAAAACATCGGCCTAAAGTAAAAAAAAAGCTCTATTTTGTAAAATATAAATTTATTATTTTTATTTCAAATTCATTATTTTCCGTTTAAGAATTTAATCTGTTTTTCAGTTTAAATTTAGTCAGTTTTTGCCGTGAGTTTTGCCTTGTTTTCACAGGGCAATAAGAATTGCGTATTGCCCGTGGGCAATACGGGGAAATCCGGACCTGTCAGCAGCCAATCAAATTGCAGAATTAACCAAAACAAGCGCTTGCCATATAATAAGAAATTTTATTGAACTTTTTAAATATTTCATGTGAGAGAATAGCCTAGCTGGGGCTAATCTGCACACTCATATGGGTGATAAGATTTTATTTTTGGTAAACATCTGTCAAGGGTTACTATATATTGAAATAAAAGTACCGGGGTATGGTAAACTAAAAAAAAGTATGTGCTAGCTCCGGTGTGCCCAGCCTTAAACTAAAAAAAAGTATGTGCTAGCTCCGGTGTGCCCAGCCACAGGTAGCCCGCTATTGGATTTGATTTTAGTTAAATATTAAATAAATTCTATGCAAAACGACATGAAGTGTCACCTTCCTTCATTCACTACTGACATATTATCGCAGGCGCCAATTCGTGCGGTGCAGTGTACCTTTATGTATATATTAATATAAGGTTGGCAACTCTTTGTCGTTTTTTCACATTTACGAATTACATACACAAACTACACATGAAAATACTCGTACTTAAACACAAAAATATACACAAAAAACTAAATCTATGTGGGAACTGACTCTTCTAAAACATTTCCGAAACATTTTTTTGTCTTTAAAGCCATTGCAAATATGTGAAATTTACGAAAATACAAACACATTTTGGTTGAATTTTTTGAAAAGCCGTCGGGATCCCATTACCCTGCCCTACGTCACAGTAAACACGCAATATGATTGGCTTAGTTTTGAATTTTGAAATTTGTTTACGTTAACGGGACTCAACCAGCCAATCATATTGCGTGTTTGCTGTGACGTAGGGCAGGGTAATGGGATCCCGACGGCTTTTCAAAAAATTCAACCAAAAAGTGTTTGTATTTTCGTAAATTTCACATATTTGCAATGGCTTTAAAGACAAAAAAATGTTTCGGAAATGTTTTAGAAGAGTCAGTTCCCACATAGATTTAGTTTTTTGTGTATATTTTTGTGTTTAAGTACGAGTATTTTCATGTGTAGTTTGTGTATGTAATTCGTAAATGTGAAAAAACGACAAAGAGTTGCCAACCTTATATTAATATATACATAAAGGTACACTGCACCGCACGAATTGGCGCCTGCGATAATATGTCAGTAGTGAATGAAGGAAGGTGACACTTCATGTCGTTTTGCATAGAATTTATTTAATATTTAACTAAAATCAAATCCAATAGCGGGCTACCTGTGGCCCAGCCTGAAACAGATAAAAATTCTTTGTGCCCCGCTTCTGTGCAGCTAAAAAAAGTATGTGCCCCGTCCCGGCGTATACACATAAATTTTGCATTGTTCCTAACTTTCCTTTTCTTACAACCGGCATCTGGTAGTTGTAATCATACAAAAATATATTATATTATAACATATCCGCGTTTTACCCGATTAGATAAAACGTGGATATGATTTTAATTAAAACGCGCGCGAGAAGAATATTTTATACCATGTCCGCGTTTCACCCAATCGGATAAGACGCGGATACGATTTTAAAACATAATTTTGTTGATCTCAGTCAACCGACCGGCTCGTGTAAACAGGAGTGGGCGGCGAATACACTTTTGGTATAATACTCATTCTGTCGTCAGAATGACGACACAACTGCCAGTGTCATATTATGTACTCATTTCAACACCTCAAAGTTATTTCACGCTTCGCTGAATCTCGACTAAGCGGGATCATGTAACAGCCTGTATATGTTGCATAAATAGAAAAAAATGGCCATATAAAGGACCCAAAATGCGTGATTTAAACTTTTTGCAAAAACAGGAGGAGGAGAGTATGATATAGATACAGTTTCGCGTATGTAAAAGCAAAATCGGTTTGTTCCTCATTTCCCTTTTCAGTATGGCGTTCACGTAAGAAATATTCACCTGAGTGCCACCTAAAATCGCGAGAAACCTTCCACGTTCACACTGAACTGAATAAATAACAACAATTACGATTGACTGTTTTCCATTTACTGACCAAGATCTATGCCGACTATGCGACAGAGTAATGCAGTATATTCAGTGGCGTAGCCAGCCTGACGATTTAGTCATGCTATGTAAATTTTATGTGATTATCATTATTCATTTCTTTAGAAATTCATTGTTTTCACAGTCAATGGACACCAAAATATTAGCATAGCATGACTAAATTGTCAGGCTGGCTACGCCACTGAGTATATTGTTTGAAGCCCACAATACTGTCACGGAAAAGAGTATAGATTTTATACGAATGACACCTAAACGCTGTCTAAACGTGTCATTCGTATAAAATCTATACGAATATGAATTAAATCTGAAGTGATACGTATATACGTATAAAATCTGAAGTTGTATTCACAGTCACGTAGAACCTTGCCAATTTCCATCACGAATTACAGATTAAATAAACCGGTAGTCACGTTTCACGAGTAAAACATGCAATTACCCGAATCACTGGCGCTTGACGAGAAGCCTGCATGTGCCCCCCTTCAAAGACATTTGGAATTAGTTTAGGTTGCACAACAGTGGCCAGGAGTATTTTTGATTATATTATAATGTTACGAATTAAAGCAATTTCATTGGTCGGGAGCCATGATCTATAAGACGACAGACCACTGCATGAGCTATATTATAATTCCTGGAGGACTTGCTCTTGACCAGAAAGTGAAGCAAAAAACATGGTGGATTTTGAGCTTTGTTGCGTCACCTGGTTCCCTTTCGCATGGTAATTACCACTGACATACCGCGATACAAAGTGAAAAACTATGTGTCTCCCTCCAGGTTTTTACGAAAATATTTTTGATTTTCGGTATATATTTTTTTCGTATTTCCTCTAAAAAAGATAAAATTGTTTATCTTTTTCCCTGTTCGACAAAGTAAATGGAGAAGTGGCTTTTTGCTCTATATATAACGTTGTGAATGGCTTAACTCACTTATCGGGAAAGCTATTTTTGCCTCAGGTGAGCCGGTTTTCAAATTATTTTCTTTTTTGAAGGCTTTTTCAGTGCCTTCGGACTATAGTATAAACAACTGCAAAAGCGTCTGGATAAATAGTTATGTGTGCTTTTATTAGCCTTTTTGACCTTTGGTACGTGACTTAATTACGATAGGATTCACAGGAAAACTTTTTTGTGTCAGGCGAAAGTTATCAATAGTTAATCTTTTGAATTTTGAGGTGCTGACTGCTGATACAAAATATTTCACTCTAAGATTAAACCTCTGGTAGACTTGTAGTGGCTGTTAAAGGTCTAATATGTTATCTTGTTTGCCTTGTCTAAAGTCAATTTATTATGGCTTATTGGACTTCTTGCACCTCGTTTATATTCAATCTACATTTAATTTGCTCTTAATGTTGATTAGTATTATTGTTATTCTACCTGGGTGCAGAGTACTGTATATATTGAATACAGTTAATCTTAATGAAGATCTCCATTTTTCAGGATGAAGATGCTATAGAATTTAACAAGAGATGGCTTGTTATGCAAGTTGGAACATTGTACTGATAATTTTACTATATAGACTTGTTGGCTGTTGTTGGCTGACATTTTTTTACAATGGTTTTTCAGATTAAAAATAATAAATAAATGCATAAAAACATGCATTAATTGAGCAGTGTGTCTTCAATCTGCAACAACTTTTATAATTTCATGGACAATGCATTTCCCCACACCATTTAAAGGGCTAGAATTATTGGGCTAATCAGGGTTTTTGGATAATAGACTGACTAATGGAGGGGTGGACAAGCACAGTTGCATTTTTGTGAATTCATTAGGCTATTATATTTGTACTACTCCTGCTATTAGGTATAATTTCATATCAAATGCAAAGCATCAATGACTTTTCTTAGGTCACACAGGGACACCTTTACAGGTTTAAACTAAGGTGCATTACAAAAAGCGTATACATTGTCTGTAGCTCATTGAGGCACAAGGTATGACCTAAATAAATATATGCCATGTAAATATCACTTCTGGTTATAACTATTGTATCCCCCACTCAGTACAATTGATAATCTGCTGCCCAATATCTTGCATGAGCTTAGGCGTTGTTTCTTTGGATTTAATATGCACAGGCATGGACACAGGACAACGTAACTGGATACTTTCTGTAATCTTTTAGTTCAGGGTTTAAGAAAAGTCAGACTGGTATCCATAAAAGACACTAAAAAATTACGACAATATTAAAAAAAAACTCAAACATTTCTAAAATTTTATACAGTAATGTATATTGAAATTGAAACAAAGAAAAGAGAAAAAACCTGTCAGCTTCATATCATTGTAAAATCATTTTCACTTTCGTCCACGTAATAAATATTGCAGTTCATGTTCGCCCAATATTTGTTTGTTTCGGCATTTGCAAAAACAGTACCTATGACTTGTACATAACTGAAATAAATGCTTTATTACGGGTTCGTTAAAAAATATATCGAAAAAAACAGAACAACAAGGTTTCACAACAGTCGGAAGAAACAAAATATTCATAAAAACTAGGGGGGAATCTGCTGTAGCGGGCTCAGAATTGAGCCTGGTCAGTGGTAATTGCCATGACGTCAAAATGACGTCACAGAGGCCAAAATCCGCCATGTTTTTTGCTTCACTTTTTGAGCAAAAAACATTAGGAGCAAGTCCTCCAGGAATTATTATATAGCTCAGTGCGACAGACACACGGAATGACTCAAAGATAATTTTAACGAATTTGATCAGTCATCTCTTGTCAGCCAATCAAATTTTCGCACTGGTCTTAATCTATAGGATTAAAGAAATGCTAGCCAATAGCATTTCTTCAATCCTATAGATTATGTACGCGTGATATCTGCAAATTGACAATTTTCCAAGTGTTGGGGAAACAATTTGCCTGTTTAATTTAGGAATTTTTTCGATTTTATTATATAAAACAAATGGATCTCACCGTTATCACTAAAACATCTCACCGTTATCATCATTAGTTATACAGGGTGTCTAAAAAAACCCCAAAACTATTGAAATCACCCATAATAATGTAATTGTTAGAATTTGAATGCCTAAGCACTCTGTTGGGACCCACAATTGTATAAATGTTTACCATAAGCATTTTTATGCCATGATGCAGTAAAATTTGTTTGTACGCAAAAATATTTATTAAAGTGCCTATATCGCTTGTGGGATCTTTACGGATTTTAATAGAGCTTGAAAAACTAGTTTATAAGTTCTACAACCCTTTTTGATATAGTTAAATAGTTTCGGAAATATTTACATCTAAACATGACGATTTGCCTAAATTTCTGTCGTGCTCGGGGCTTGGGACTCAGGAACCGAGTTCTTGTCAAACATATGTAATATAATCAATTGTAATTTTACTTCGATCTTCCAATAACGTAAAATATTTTGAGAAAAACTCGCTCAGTTGCTACAGCCATACACAACGCACTGTTCCCGCATTTTTTTCTTGAAAAGCGCAAACTATATCACCAGTGAAACTCTTCATGTTTACATTATAAAAGACGCGTGTTTGCAAATCATTCCTGAGTCCCAGTCCCCCCAACCAACGTATTTTCGAAACTATATAATTTTATCAAAAAAGATTGTAGAACTTATAAACAAATTTTTCAAGCCCTATTCAATTCCGTAAAGATCCCACAAGTGATATAGGCACTTTAACAAGATTTACAATTTGTCCTTTGTCGACCTTTGTCGAAAAGCGTTTCGTACGCGTATAATTTAATTTATCACAATAAATACCATTTTCTTTCGAAGCAATAACAAGGCTAATCTAAATTTAATCATAGGGATTAATTTAATCGTAGGGATTTAATGCAACTTATAAAATGCTAAATACAAAAAATTTGAAATTGTGAATATGATTAAATTTAAATTAGCCTTGTTATTGCTTCGAAAGAAAATGGAGCAGCTCAACGCGGAACAACGAGTGTTTATTGTGATATCATCGCAACAGAGTGTTAAGGCATTCGAACTCCACTAACAATTACATTGTTATGGGTGATTTCAATAGTTTTCGTTTTTTTGAGACACCCTGTACAGGGTGGGTAAAAAAAACTGACACCTTTGAAATTCAAATTATCTGTAATGTGACAAAGTTGCCTAAGGCCTAAACTATACGTCGCATTTTGGTCGCGTCGAATGCAATTCAAACCATAAATAATGAGATGGTAAACCTTATTAAGCTTCATGAAATAACCTAAAACATAAAGTTTGTTCCCTTTGGGAGTTAAAATTCATTCTAAGCTTTGTAAATACAAACGAACAGTTTTATCAAATCGTTTTTGTGGATTGTACACATGGGAATTGTCATATTCCAGCCATAAGTTCGCAGCTAATTTGAATTTCAAAGGCGTCAGTTTTGTTTACTCACCCTGTATGTACACGGTACGACGTCACTTGTGATAAGAACAAAACAAAGTGGCCACGAGCTGCCCCGGGGCGAGTTCAATGTTATCTATTTGTTAATTAGAAACTGATCAAGTGCATAAATTATAGAGTACATAATATGTAGTATATATATATATATATATATATTATATATATATATATATATATATATATATATATTATATATAATATATATATATATATATATATATTATATATATATTATATATATATAAAATATATATATATATATATATATATATATATATATTTATATAAACTAACTTTATGCAAATTATAGGACGTACGGTTTTTTCCGGTGTGAAAAAATGCTATACACGACATTTCTAATTTCCATTAAAAACAAAGCAACTGAACGGTATGCACCGCTGTGCACTTGGCAGGCGCCAAACAGAGTTGCAAAAAGAGTTAAAGTATTTCAAGTTTTGAAAACCTTCCTCAAAATGACGTTACCTTACTGAGTCAAGTGGCAACCAGCATAAAGAAATATTTGGCTTTTTAGTACATGCATGCATGTGATCAATTAGAGTGGTCAACTTTGAACCTTCCTCACAAACCTCATTCAAAGCAAACCTTCCTCCGGGTGGTACCCACGTACCCGCAGCTTTTTTTACAACTCTAGCGCCAAATTTCTGGCCATGAAAATTGTGTCAGTGAAAAATTATACTGGTCAGGATTTTGCAATACAGTTCAAGTTTCCATACTTTTTATCATCATTATTCGACTCGGCCAACTGGTTTTCGCAAAATTCTTGTGTAATAGAAGATTCCTTCGAAAACGTATCTAAAATGTTAAAAAAAATGAAAATTGCATACGTAAACTATACAAGTGCAGCATTCAGTTCGCAGCAGTTTCATATCTATATATGTTAAATATTTATTCTTTCAACTTCAATGTATCCATATGCAGCTAGCTTGTAAGTTAGAGAGTTATACTGTAGTGATAAAAATTTTTTTTCTTGCGGTCCGAATTCATATTTTAGCGTTTCCAGCAATCTGATTGGCTACGCGAGCGGTCCGTATGAATCCGTACGGACCGCGCGAGATTTAAAACCACAGACCCAACCGCTAAACTATGAGTTTGGACCGCTAGAAAAAATTAAATATATTATTTATCAGTTTAGTCGATCTGTATAGGGAAATATTTCCCTCAGTCTCGAAAACATCCCTCGGCCTTCGGCCTCGGGCTGTTTTTGAGATCTTGGGAAGTATATCCCTATATGACCTCATTGCATAATTATTGCATAATTGCATAATTATTTGCGACAACATGGCCGCGCTGATGTGCGTGCTGTGTTTCTCTGTGCTGGAAAAGAAGTCAGATATAAATCTTGTAAAAGGAAAGCGTTCTCTCGACATTGCGGCCGACATATTACGATGACAATGCTGGTTCCAACGACTTGTTCTTCGAGAAGGTCAGCGAGGAGAGGAACCGCTTGGAAGACTAGAGACTTCCCGTCGCCTGTGCCAGCACTAAAGAAGATATTCTTACCGAGTAAGAAGGCTTTGAGTGCCTCGACTTGCTCTCGATGAAGACTTTCCACTTGAAAAAAACAGCATACAATCCGAATAGCTTCCGAAAAGTGCTCTTCTTCAAGCAAAGATGGTTCGATGAAGGACGCCATGTTGTTTGTGAAAATAATAAATATTCTGAAATTTTGATTATTTTGCATAATTATAAGCTAACCAATCAAAATGAGTCCCACAATTTCTCGGGAAACCCACGTGACCATACAAGCTTTGTGCCGCTGATTAGCAGACTATATATACCCCGCGTTGCAGGCTAGATATAACCAGGTTTTGTCAAAATTAAATAATTTTTTTTTTAAAATATTCGCTTGCCGCGGAAGATCAGAATAAGCGGGCGGAGGGGGGGGGGGGGGGGCTCTATTATTCATATGTTTGTATAGACAGACGGTAAAAATCATAATAATCATGAACAACACTCCACTGAGAAATTGCATGTTTCTTCAAATGCATGAAAAGTTTTTTTCATCCATATACTGGAAAAAGATGATTGGCATCTTCGAACATAGCTGATCTGAGATGATGAGTCACGGGACGCCTCGACAAAACCGAGTTATCGTAAAAAGCAAAAAATTTATATCCTAATTCAAGTTGAGTGAAAAACAAACGTGTTCTGGCAATAAATAATATAATTAATTAAGAATATATAATTTCCCAGTGCCAAAGTCATATGAAATAATAGAAATTGGCTATAATTAAATTTTGTCGAGGATTTGACTGATTGGTTAATTTTTATACTCAAATCAGCTGGTTGTGACGTAGTTATTAATTGATAAATTATTAATTAAGCCCTAGTTATGACGTAAATAACAGTTCCTTAACTCACCGAGTTTAGAATGGTTAGCCGTAAACAATGGCTTTTCCATTTGTGTTGTCGCTTTCAGTTGTCGGGTCTTTCTTCGCGTCGTGTTCGTCAAAGGTCGTAAGGGTCACGAGTGGGATTGCTGGTGAATCCTCATCTTCTTCGTTTGCCAAGATTTCCAAATCCGGCTTATCTGTAACAGTCGAGAGTTTCCGTTCATAGCCGTAGTCGTTTCCGCGACGATGACGATGTTTATGTTTATGTCTGTTTTTATGTTTATGTTTACGTTTGGGTGTTTTATGTTCACGGGGCTCGTCGCTGGCTTCGTCAGTTTGTTGGTTGCCCTCCATCACTTTCCATATGGTGCAATTTTTCAGCTCTTCACTGATGTTGATACCACTATCATTGTGCACCAATTTTGCTGGGGATTCCTTTACAAGTTGTTAAAAATTTGAACATTAAAAATGTACATAGTACATAAATGCCGTATTCTAGGACCAACTCCGGGATATGGGAGAGCATAAGGTAGCGACTACAACGTGATTGGGATGGGTGTGTAACCTCAAATATTCATGTTTACATATTATAGGAACAATTGCGTACAAAGGAAATCAGTCGGGCATAAGACGAATAATTATTGTATGAATATACAACCTGCCCCCCAATTAAGCTTCTAACTACGGCCCAGGATGTCACAATCGTGATTTCAAACAAGACCGTCGTCATTAAAAAGGCTCAATTTATTTTCGGTCAGCGTTAGTGAATAAAAAACGTGGCTAGCCTATCTTAAGCTTCCTAATATATTAGTATACATGCATAGCCGCGTATAACTATTTCACTCTTAACTTATGTTCTATTTCCTCAACTCTGCTTTCATGTTTTCTGTGGTGATCATGCACCTATTATACCGTTTCGTTTAGTTTAGGGTAGGCAAATAAACGAACTTACACTCCTCATTTTATTGTGATTTTACTGTAAACAAATAAAGGTGGGTCGTGGACCTTTTCGATAACGCTAATTGACATTACAGTCGGTTAATATAATTAAACCGTTTTTTACGCGCTAATTAGGTTACGTAATACACTGATCTATTTGGAAAATATATGGTTATAGATACCAAAGGGCTCTGCTGAAAGTTTAGTGACCCAGCCTAAAATATGATTCACCATAACCACTTTGAAGCGTTTTTAATTAAGTGGTTGAGTATAAATCTCCATCACAATAGTTTGTAACTATTAACCGTTCGGCACGATTAATTTTGATTTAATGCAATTCATATCGTATTCTTACCAAAGAACCTTCATCGACTTCATCAGCTTCTTCAATTATTCTCTTCATAGACTCTGGCACAACATCGTCCAGCACTTCAAGTTCTTGTTTTGTAAATATTTTGTCCATTACCTTCCGAACAGCCACTAGAGCTAACACCTAAAAAAATCAAACGCCTATACTCACTCGATATACTCACATATAGAGTATCTCCAGGCATTGAACATGCTTTTTACGACTTTGTGGGGCAAATGGGGCATTTGCCCACAGCCGGCCCTGGATTTTTACTGGCCCAAAAAAATGAGAAATAGTTGGACGTTTCTTCTCCGAGCTTTCTAAGGTTTGATCAACGATGCATGAGCTACCTACAAATTATTCATATTTAAATAAAAAATTGTGAGCCGTGACCGGCCCTTATAAAAGTGTTGCCGTCAGCCCTGGAAAGATTAATCCGGGGGCGCTGGACTAAAGACCGACCTTCATTTGCACGTATTATCAGTACGGCGGATTTGGTGCATGCTCGGTCGCTCGAAACTGGTCTCTAAGCTAGCCGTAACGGCTAATTTTTTGTATGTATGACAGTAGAACTGTAGTCGGCCGTCAATCAAACCGTACCTGCAATTTCGGCGCGTACGTACGTGCAAGTGGAGGTTGGCCATAAGTAGGTGACTTATTTCATGCATGCATGCATGGAATTTGTTGTCCAGTTTTCAAGGAGGGTTGGTTGCACCTAAGGAGCGCTAACAAGAAGATGTCTTTTAGTTTCGCAGTCAACTAAAGACGTAGGAACTTTTTAATTCTTTGAGTGTCGATACTCGATAGCAGAAATTTTGCAAAAGCCTTCCCGATACATTTACAACCCAAGGGCGGAAATTAGTGAACATATATAAATTTCGTTCAGAGTATACTTTGTGATGTTAAAGATTTCGGGTTTTCAATATTTTTCGTGAAAGGCAAGGCTGTTGTTCCTGTCTCTAAACGCGATTATATCAACAACATCTTAATTTGAAAGGCAAATACGACTGGTAAAATATTTCCTTTTTAATCAAATTCAATAGATATCATTTCATGAACACGATCACTAGTTTACGTTTCGTCCCAATTGTAAAAAAGAAATAACCTACCATTAACGGGAAGGAAATTGCAGCAGGTGTGGCCTTTATTACCCATAGAATTATCAAACACGTCATTTGGATTCCAGTAAAAATGTGAATCCGACTGATGCGAACTTTTCGTAGATACACTCTGTCTGGTTGATGTTTAATCGGCATAAACAGTATTTTCATCCTCTCGAAAAACTAGAAAACCCAGAAAAATCATGAATAATTCATTAACGTGCAAATCAAATTTAGAAGTAGTACATTTTCGTGGCATTTCCCTTGAAAGAAAAGGAAAACGTAAGAAAAGTTCCTATTTATCAACTTTAGATGCCTCAAAAGTAGAATGGCATTGCTAGTTGCAAGAAAACATCGCCTTTAATTATTTCTAAAGAACACTAGCTTTCTATTTGAGAAAACGTTTATTTCGAATTTCATGTTCTTTAGGACACGTATTGTCATACAACTCTTCGTATTCAATATATCAATACACACACCTGAACACCTTTCAGAGCTGAGACTCCCATATAAATAAATAATCCGTATAATACTGGCATTGGAATGTACTAAAAAAGCGAGATTAACGTTGTATTAATACTTTGATAGTATGAAGAGATAGTTAATACTAGTGCATTTCAATGCTTTACATTTTCATTTCATAAAAATTATGTCGATTGGAAAGTGTAATTTTAAATTCTTGCGTTTTTGCGTGAACTGGACAAACTCACGCCCACGCCTAGACTTCACTCTATATGAGCCCAATAATTACTAATCTAGTTTGGCATCACAGTTTGATAAAGACAAAATGGAAAATATTAATCGAATTATACACTCAGGTATTGTTATGGAACAATGCAATATCCAAAGTCTTCCAGATTCTATGTCATGAAGGTCGATATCTTGTTAGTTATGGGCATGCGCGAAATTTAAACGAGTGAAGATTGGTAATCAGCATATATAATACAGCTCAAGACTGAGCAGGGAAAATTGAATGATTCATGTATATAATAAAAAGAGTTATAACGTGGTTTTACAGACAGAGCAAGTCTGTTGATTGCATGGTCAAGCCCCCTAAACAGCCTTTTGCATCGGAGATATGACACGGAGTATGGATTGTTCGTAAGTAAAAAATAATATGGACTGTCATGATTATTTTTTATAGATGTATATCAAGATTACATATATTAATGCTAGTATAATCAAAACCATTTACCTTCAAAAATTTCCCTAAAAACACAGTCAGACCAACCATAAGGAAAACAAGTGTTCCAGTAACGCGTTGTTCTCTAGACAGAAATTTGACGTTATTAACGGGATCATTCTAACGTTTATTACCAATAAATCATAAAATGATATCGCACAAGTACACTACTCTGATCAATTAAATTCAGGGAAAAATAAGACATGCCACTTTGAGAATGTGCACAATCTACCGTTACGAAGAGATTTTGCACTCAACTTGATCACTAAAAATCCTAATTTTTGGTCGGTTTTAGGATTACACCTACTATACAACTCCTAAATACAAACTGCTTGAAAGATCATTCGATCTGCCTTACAATTCCATGCATATGACTATACTTTATGATTATTAAGGTTTGTTATACCTAACTCCCAGAAACTTCGGCCTTTCTCCAGGTGCTGTGCATGTGGATTCAACAAACAGACTTTGGACATGAGCCAGTGAGAGCACAGTGGCAGCAACGACCCATGGTAGGCCTAGAATGGAGCAAATGCCGATTCCAATAGCAACGACTGTGAGATCCAAATGATATCCAGCACCTTTCTGAAATTATGAACATATAAAACATCTATTCATGCAGTTGCCCATCATGAATCTAAAATTCATCATGGTAAAAGATGAATTTACATACAGGTGGGTTTACATACATCGTAAAAAAGTAGAAGAGAAAAAGACCGTTTATCAGGAATTTATTGCATTTTTGTAACCGCCAACCCAATTTACCATTAATTTTCATGTAATTTCACAAGCCATGTGCAACGATGCACACAAAGAATCTTCCTCAACACATGCATAAGATGCATTCCTATTTTGTTGGATAATATGGAATAAGTATTGACGCAATTTAATACGATAATTTCGTTTCAACTAATCGGCATATTTGTTTACGTTTTAAGGCTAAGCTAGTCAGAATGCCTTACTTTTTATTAGTTAATGTAAAAATTAAAATGGTAAACAATGAACCTTTTTGCTAAAGTAGTCAATATTTACGCACTCTGAGTGGGTTACTGAAAGCATAAACAAGTCTCCTAACTGATCTAAAACAAAATTCCTCAGTCCCCGAACTTGCCTCGCGTTTTTATGGCATCATAAAATTGATATGGCATAATAAAACGGTTTGGAAGGTTTGACAAAGAAAAACCGCCTGAAATGAATTTAATTTGAGGTGGTGCAAAGTCAAACAATGAAATTGTCACTTGCCTAGACAGGTCCATTGTTCAAAGACAAAATTTTACATTATATATAAAGTGTTATTATTCATACACACCTTCAATTTATGCTCTCTTTTATTCACAATAACTGCAGTGATCTGTTGATCCATGAATACTAATATTGTTGTCAGCAGTGCTGGAATAGATGCTGCAATCAGAGTCCACCATGGGTTCTTACCAAGAGGTGCGATAAGCCAGCCACGAGCATCAGCATTTGTTGGTTGAAAGTTTGTAGGAATGTTTAACTTGGGTGTGCTGACTTTGAGTGCAGCGTCGACTCCAACCATTACAATAACAGATATGATTACAGCAAAGTCAGACACCACCTTGCGCACCTGAAAAATACCTCTAACTCTTAGTTTTACGATTGGACACCGAATGATTCACTAAAAAATGAAAACTAATTAACTTTTGTAATAATACATAAGCCTGAAATGTTTAATTTAACAAGACTTAAAAGAAGAAATTTTCTAAGAGTATGATAGCTATAAAGAAGATAAATAGTTTGAATTTAATGAAGTTTTGACCGATATTAGTACGAGTGCTATGTAAAAATTAGGACTGATAACCATGGGATTTATAATTCACAACAAACTTTCTAGTGACGACGTACATGAGTGAATTTGCGGCAACCATTTTCTTATACCGTTCTGTTAAATTTAGCAATATTATTTCCGGCTGCGTGTGTATGCGGTGGCGCCACGCGCATGGATATTAACGTAAAAAAATCTGGTTGACAAAATGATAACATTGAGCCGTTGTCTGTTCAGTTATAGATACACGGATGACGTCATTTGTCATTAGAACAAAACAAATGGCCACGAACCGCCGTGGGGAATTTTGTTTTATACAATAAATTCGAAAAATTCCGAAATTAAACAGGAAAATAGTTTCCCGAACACTGGGAAATATGTCAAAGTAAAAATTTTGCGGATATAACGCGTACATGCTCTATAAGATTGAAGAAATGCTATCGGCTAGCTTAAAACGCGTGTTAAAATGTGATTGGCTGACAAAATAAAACAAGAGATGACTGATCAAATTCGTTAAAATTATCTGTGCCGTCATTCCGTGCGTCTGTCCTCTTATAGATCGTGGTTCCCGACCAATGAAATTGTTTGAATTCTTAACATTATTATGCAGTATATTTTGGTAAATCATAAATGTACATTTGCAGTGTATATATATATTTATTATATGGCAAGCGCTTGTTTTGGTTAAATCTGCAATTTGATTGGCTGCTGACAGGTCCGGATTTCCCCGTATTGCCCACGGGCAATACGCAATTCTTATTGCCCTGTGAAAACAAGGCAAAACTCACGGCAAAAACTAATCATTAAAATGTCTGCATGAAATATGCCATATAATAAAAAACTTACTAACTTCGACTGTTCGGTCTGTACGGTAAAATATCAAACCTCGGTCTTGGCGTATTGACCTCGCTATCGCTCGGTCAATACGGCACGACCTCGGTTTGATATTTTACCGTACAGACCTCATTCTCAGTCAGTAAGTTCTTAGTATTGGATGACCTTAGTGTCTATGTTGATGTTAATTGTAAATGTTTATTACTCCGGCGTGAGCGACGGCGTTGAAAATTCGCCTAGGTTTTTTTTTATTTTTCGTCGTGGCAAGCGTGTTTTGGCGCGAAATATACTCGTATTTAAGAGTGTATGTGACTGTATTTATCTACGTCAAAGTTTTGTCTCCCAAGAGTTGTGGTGCACAGCTCGAAATCTCTGACTAATTTATCGATGCACGATTCGATTTCGTTCTTTATAAACTGTTCTTTTGATGGTGTTCGATTAAGTTTAGGTTTATTTGGGGTAAGAATATATTTAATACATGTAGATTCTGGTCTTATTTTAATAATATCGCTGCTACTTCGTTGTTTAACAAGATGCGGTCGTGTATATGGGCGCGTTGACACGTCGTAGTTTCCACAGGATTGAAAAATTAATTTAATATAACTATATAAGCGCGAATTCCAAAGGCAAAGTGTAACAAAGCGAATGTATCATGCGGTTTTTACATTTTTGAGAATTGACTTTTACAACTATACTTTTTTAAAGTACGATGTGCTTCTGAATTTCGCGATCGACAACATTTGGTTCGCAAGGCATCTAAATGCGAATATGAACTGTATTGTTTATGTTCCAAAGCTAAGTTAAATTCATTGGAAAATCATTCTAAAAAAGTCAATATGTTTCTCGAGTTCGAATTCGTTGTTTTCCGAGATCGATTCGGAGTTTACTAAAAACTTAAGGTGATATTCGTGATAATATTCGTGAAGTCACAGAATTAAACAATATTATATATAGTCTTATTATTGCTTGTGTACATAAAATAAACGGGTATTTAAAAAAAACTAATAATAATACTGACCAACCTTGGTTGGAAAAAACCGTGAAGTTTTAAAGCTCTTTAATTTAAGCACCAAGAAAAACGTCCCCAGGGTGAGAATTGTCGATAAAAGAAATATAGCACCACCGCAACCATTTCCTTGGATTATCTCTTGGTTATTTGGATCGCAGTCATAAATTGTTTTGTTCGTGGAATAGTACTCCGTTGTTAAGATTTTTGTTATATTATTGAAAATCCTCCTTGATTTTATACATTCACATGATTGCTCAACCACGTGATCATTCGGTACTGGGTATTTCCCTGCTAACTCGTATAGTTTATTTCCACCTTCGTAGATAAAGATCAAGCCGATGAGAGTGGCAAACGATTCCTCAGTAAATCGAGTGAAATATCGAACCAGTGCACTGCAGTCAGTGACCACCAGGACCAGACAATAGAAAGTGGTCCACAAACCAATCCATAAACGAAATGGCATGTAATCCAATTCCGCTTTGTCGCAAAAATTGTACAGTATCTCCTCAAATACTAGCATTGGACCAGTGGCGCCAAGTATTGTAAGGGGTTGGCCAGAGAAAAGTGAGAACAGAACGCCACCGATTGAAGCGGCTAATAGTTGTTCCATGGCACCCTAAGAAAGTTTAATCCAAACCCATTAAAGTGGAAATCATTCCGCATGTAAACCAGCGGTTTGTTTACATTTGAACTTCTATACCTTTTTATACTTTATGAATATCTACACTATAAGGTTCACTTAGCTTCTAAAAGAATTTGAACTAGATGATCAGTGAAAATTCGAAACGTGCAAAATTTATACAATTTTGACATCTATCAACGTATGCGTAGTATGGACTTTACGTCCAGTTTAATAGGGCGATTTAGCATGAGGACGTGAACGTCAAAGACCACGTGAAAATGGCGAATAAATGCCGTGATGCGCTCAAATATGGACATGCCACGCAATTTACTCGCCATTTTCACGTCGTCTTTGACGTTCACGTCCTCATGCTAAATCTTCCTAATGTCGACGGAAAGAGAGCCAAAATGCTAATCAGAGTCAGAGGCATCGTAGTGCCTATACAATCACACCTAAAAATTGCTGATACTATAAAATCTGTAGTTACCATATTGCGATTCGTCTTGGTCTCCATAACACCGCCAAAGGTGACAATTGGAGCTAAACAAGCAAAGTAAATGAACAGCACACTCGCTAAACACTGGCTGTTTAACGCATCAACGAAATCCGATTTGTAGCATTTTATTCTTCTTTTAATGTCCATAATCAGTCCACCTCCAAACCTATAAAAATAGACATCAATAATTAGAGCAGACAACATTATGGAATACTGTGAGGCCAGTTGTATGAAACTCTTTAACTTCATCTTGAATATTTAAGGTGGCTCGATGGGCAAAATAAGATATTAATTTCACGATTAAATAACTTATGGTACGAAATCAACTTATGTCAGGAGAATAAACATGAGATATGGTTGTTTTTTAAAATGCTAGAACATGTTGCCATGGTAACCAATTCAAAATGTGATCATAGCGATTATAAATAATACTAGAGAGGGCATCGAGGAGAAATTGGAGGGCTCGTTAATGGGGGGCAAATTCAATTCCCGGATGTTCACTCATTCACGATGTTCGAGGCCAAAATATGCCGTTTTAAACGAGTTATTTATATTTCTGAATATTTTTTCCCTAAAATATCATTTCAGGATGGCTAAGGTATTAAGACCAGTTCAAAAAACACTAGTTTTTCCTCAAAAACCGGCAAAGCAACAAAAAACGAATATAAATTTTTAAATACAAACTTTGCTTGTTGCTAACGTGGTTGCTAATGAGAGGCATTGATTTAGCTAATAGGTGCTTGGTTTAGCATCCAGGACTTGAAATTGCCCCCATTATCGCGCTCCCTTTTTTAACTGATGTTTTCGATACCAATGCCTCCTCTATAGTGTTATTTATAATCTCTATGTATGTGATGGTGTACATTATAAAATCCCTCAAAATTAACGTAAATTTTTTTAATCTTAAAAAACGAATTGTATATGAAAGTTTAAGAGTTGAACATTAAAACAGTAAGTGTCCCAATTACTTTTCAAATGATTGTAGTTAATTTTTGCAGTAAAGTTTAAAAAAACAGACGAAATTAAAAGTGATTTACGCTTTATACACAGGTTTTTACAACAAGAATTTCAAATTTTTTTGCGTTATTTTCGTTGTTAGTTTACGTTGTTACATTCATAATCTGAATTTCTGTTACTACGAGTGGTACGTCTATATGACAAAAAATTGAATGCTTGACAATAACTCATTACCCGCACATACCAAAACAAAAAAATTCTTAATAATCTCGACTTTAATCCTTAAAATGCAATTTTTTATTGAACCATTTATAGATTTTCACATAATGGACAATATAAATATTATATTATAAATATTATATGAATAATTATATCATAAATATTATGTGAATATTATTTTATGTAAGGTTTGATCTTGTCATTTGCTGGTCTTCATTTTACACATTTTATTCACATATACATATAGATCATAACAAAATGGTTACAAATTTAATGAATGCACTTTTTCTCCATAGAAATGATAGAATGGACTATTCACCTATTGAACTAAATTTAAAACTAGAAAGTTTCATCAGTACAGCTGGAAAAATCATCAAAAAATTACTAAAATTGGAAAGTTTTGTGGGAAAATATTGTAAAGTGTGAAAAATATCGCGGTGCGAAGTTGGCAATTTTCAAGTTTCGAAAAAGTGGTAACGCTTTTTCGAACTTAATACTAATTTATACAAAATTTGCCAACTTCACAGCGCGATATTTTTTTTTCAAATACGAAATGAGAGATGAGATGCTCTTTCCGGCAGTATGCCCCAGAACCGACGAATTTTCCTAGTTCAAGATTTCTGAGTAGGGGAATGGTCTATTGAAGTCGCTAGATCTCTTACCTTCCAGTTCTAATCAGTTCATTATTTCTGTCATCACCACTTTCATCTCCCCCTCCACCATTAACCCCACCTCCTTTTGCCCCAAGACTATTTTCCCGGCCTTGTCTGCCACCATCACTTGTATACTGTTGAACACGGCGGTTTTCCTGTGAGGGAACTGTTGCCGGAGGTTCTATACGGATAGATGGGTCCCATTCCCCGGGTGGCAACACTGTTACCTATATATTAAAATACAGACTGTATAAATCATAAGCAAATTTGATCGTGTTCGTCCCTAGGCAGCGCCAAAACAGACTGTGTTATTTTTAAAATTGCTTTTCGGTTCATTTATCCGGCTAAAATACCAACCCTGATTACAATCAATCACGTTTTCACAAATTTTCAACACTCTTCCAACTTTATATGAACCGCAATTTGTCCATTTTACAACATATTTTCAACCAAACGATGCTAAAATTAGGTACACACGTGTAATGATCCCCTAATGATTTATACCCTCTGAAACCAGTAGGTTCTGAAGGAAGAGGGTTCTGGAGCAGACGCACCGCCCATGGCGTCATCATTTTTTAATTTATTCACATTTGCTAAATTATTTGTGTTTTACCAACCACGACACCGTGTGAATAATAGATACTGCTTACAGAGGTGGTGACTTGGAGAGACTTCCTGGAAAGTCTTAACATCCCTTTCGTAAATTTGGAATGATTTGGCTGATCCAAAGCCGAAAACCAAAAACAGCCGAAACACCTGGATAGTTTGATAAATGCGCAGACGTTTTCCACGGTGTTTCCAGGCACAGATTATGGAGCTCTAACAGTGACTACGAATACGAGATTCGTCATTCTCGCGCGTTGTTTGCTTATGCCATCAGTCAATACTCGTAGTCGCCATCAGTCAAAACTCGTAGTAAAACTTTGAGTACGAGTTTTTTGATAAATTTCGTACTCGAAAGCCCAACTACAACAAGATTTGGCTGATGGCGTAAGCAAACAAAGCCTGAGAATGACGAATCTCGTATTCGTAGTCGTATTCGTAGTCACTGCTAAAACTCCCTATTACTGACGGTTGGTTACTCATGGTTGGTTAAAGAACAAATAAATTAGCATAATGTGAATAAATGAACTTATGACTTCATGGGCGGTGCCCCTTGCACCATCATGCAGGTCTCCCCCTCCTTCTACTACTAAAATCATATGATTGATGTACCTGTTGAAGAAATTCGTCAATACCAGCGGTGATGTCCTCACGACATGTAGCTTTGAAAGCAACATCATGAAATACCTGCGTAAAGAAAAAATCAAGAGAATGTAATTACATAGTCATTAAGATTTATATAGCGCAATTAATGTATAAGTTAAATTATCATTTCATATCTCCTTTCAATAGTTTCTTTGAATATAGTTATGCACGTGCACACAATTTAAGAATGAAAAGATTCTCCAAACTTATAGACCTTTATAAAATTAAACAGTTTGCACTATGACCTTGTTTAAAGAAACACCATGCTCGTAATAGACCTTTTGCAATTTTAACATCAAATGTGGTATAACAACTGCCACTGCCAGAGTTAGTAACTAACTCTCATGACAAAGGCCCTCAGGTCGAAACGTCCCGAAGTATTTTGTCTATTTTAGGCAGTTTTTATACCACATTTGATGCTAAGTTGTTTGAAGACGCGGCCACGCTGCTCCCTGTTTATATTGGAACCTTGGCAATCATCGACTAATATTTTCATCTATGCCTGAAAATGCAATTAAATTACTACAGCTGAAAAGAACATGCTAAAATTGGCAGAAATGCAAAATTTGGTTGCGAAATTTTGTAACTGAATGCGGAAAATGTAGCCTTGCAGAGTTTGTATACCTTTTTACTACAAGCGGAAGTTGTTACCACATTCAGGCCAAAAATGGTAACTATTTCCATTTATCGAAAAAAGGATATAAATTTGCAAATTTTGCAAGGCTATATTTTCCGCAGTTTACAACATTTCGTAACCAAATCTAATTTAGCTGTGATAATTTTATTGCATTTTCATGCATTTACAAGCAGTGAACAACATCACCATGGAGGTGACTGGAGAGCAGAAATGGAAGTGTTTAAGGCGTTTATACATTTCGTTAAGTTAGCTTTTCACCTCATCAGCCATGAGTGTAGCAATCGCTCTTCCCACTTCATGGTAACGTCCTGGCTGTCCAGATGGTCCAAGCATGAAGAACAAGAATCGCGTTGGTAAAGGAACCTCCATGATATCGCCAAGAATTACAGCATCTTCCAGACGAACAAATGCATTCATTGGTTTGCTAAGAAAGTCTGTTTCTCCCACGAGAACCATAGAGCCCTCGGCTCCTTGAGGGATCTTTTTCATAAAATTTGCATCATACTAGAAAAAGAACCATTATAAAAAATGGTCAGGAATTTATTTATATCACCGTAATACATTTTTAACTGCATGAATCTTCGTTGCGTGAAATTCATATGGCATTCGGTGAAATAGTCCTAAAAATTGAATCAATATTCAAGTACCCTCGAACATTCTGGATCAGAGTCATTAGAAACATCGTCATTTGCAAGGTCTTGCGCAATCAACGACACAGCGGTTGGTAAATTTTGGAAATTCGAATCAGATTTTTCCAGATCTTGCAAGCGTGATGCTGAAGAGGATTTTGCAAGGTTATCAGCTAGAATGTGAATAGGAAAAAAGTTGGATAACAAATGGAAAAATGTTTTGAATAAACGAAATTACAAAATAATTTTAAGAATTTCGAATTAATTGCTCATGTTCATCTACTAATTTTTAAACCTCCCGAATTGACCATGGCCATTCTTATAAGGTAAACCAATAATACAAAATCAATAGACCATTTAGAATTATTTTCTGATCCAGAAAATAAATATGGGAAAAAGCTATGACATGTAAAGGAAGTCCGAAGGCTTAGAGCCCAGTCTAGCTAAGTCTTACTTCCACATGTATTTGTCAAAATAAAAAAATACTTGTGCTGAAAAAGGGTGTTTTGCTTCTTTCGACGAAACATAGCTGAAACATACATAACCCGAAAAAACCCCCCTGCATGAAGTTCATGTGGTGGTGAAATTAGTGTAACATAAGTTTTATGGATATACAAAAAACAACTGGTGAAGAAACCTTGCTTAGGTAAGTATGTTATAAACCCATAAATGTGATAAACCCGTTGCATAACAAATTATTTTTAATAGGTAAGGCAAGGAAGCATGGGAGGACAAGTGGACAACGCTAAGAAATATGACGTCAGTGCAGTCCATAGATTTACCTTTATCCATATTGCTTAGTGTAGCACTAGATTTCCTTGTTCCTCTTAATGATGGAAGACCAGTCTTCCTTTTTTGTGTGCTTTTTCTTCTTTCATACAAATGTCTGTGTTTCTTTAACAAAATATCTCTTACTCGAGGTCGTAAGCATACATCAAGCTGCCTCGTAGCGACCAAATCATCAAGAACAATATCTAAGGTAGGATAAAATACCACGTCTTTTAGAAAACGAAATCTTTAAGTTAGCTACAGAATGCTCTTCTACCTGCAGTTCAACTCTGCGTACCGTGGTTAATACAAGGGATTGATAAAAATTGATTTTGCATATTTATATAGGTCGGATTTTGCCATAAGGTGCAATTGTTGACCTAGTCATTGGGAGGGGATTACCCAGATAGTCTAGCAATATTTCTGGCATCATTTTTCAAGATTATTTGAATCAATAACACGTCTTCAAGCTCATACACTAGATTGCTATAATTATTATTATGCTAAGATATGCAGAATCATGAAACAATACGTAATACAGGTTTCTTTGGCATATCAGGCTTCCACGATTGCAGGCAACGTAATGCATTCCAATATGTTTTCATTTTCTGTTTCCCCCCAACTTACGTTCATACTAACGAAGGCCTCAAGCTCGATCGAGACGAAACGTCAGTGAGAATTGTTTTGTCTATTTTAGGCAGTTGTTATACCATGCACATTTGAAGTGAAATTGTTTGAAAAAGCTGCCACGATGCTCCCTGGTTATATATGAAGAATCACATCAATTTTGTGCGATAAATTACTATATTATACCTCAAATTCAAATTGCCCAATTTATTTGTACTTTGTGACGAGGATATTTTTCGCGGTATCGCATCACAGTCTCTTATTTTTCCGAGTTGAGGATGTGACATTAAACTCATCACACTGTGATACTAAATTTATCGTGACAACCCGCGAGAACTACACGCACCCACTGAAAATAATGGCGGGAATAGTGTTGTTGTTTGTTTGAAATCAAGAAATTAACGATTCTGCCGAGAAAATTAACCGTATTCTCGACGAAAGACATACAGAAAACACAAAAAAGGTTGACTAATGTTAAAACAAGTTTTATTGTAATTTTTTTCGCCTCCTTCGAGTACTTTACTCATTTATAGAAATAATTCTCCTAACCTTCGTACTGTATGTTTTGCTATTGTACAAGCTTACAATACTTTTCGGTATTATATATCATTTATAAACCCTCCGCTCGGGGGATTCGGAAAATATCCCCCTCAGTAACGATATTTCCCTCGTGGGAAAGCCCTCGGAAAATATCACCAATTCGGGAAATATTTCGCTGAACTGATCCCCCTCACTCCAGGTTTATAAACGATAGTTCTTCGACTGGGCAGGGAAGATAAAGGAAAGCAACTGGACCCTGCCTCAACGAATCGCATCCAGATATTTACTATTGCTCTGATTTCTATCAACAGGAACTGCAATTATCGTAGTTTTGAGTAATTTAGCCTGAAGGTACACCACGTAAGTATTTAACACTGCAAAGCTTTCGGTCCGTTAACCCAGGCCTTCATCAGTGCAATTACCTGAATACACATTCACACGTCACTTAAACATCACGTTAGTCGTGATTTGTTAGCTCGCGCCATTAATTAAACGGTTTCACTTACCAAATAATTATAAAAAGAAATAGTTTAATTAATGCGCGTGTCCTAGACAAGTACTTAGCTAGCAAACATTGAAAAAAGCACGCACTATTGAGCGGCTTACCCTCTTGGACGATAGTTTGGACAGCGCATAAATTAGAACTATTTCTTTTTCACAATTATTTGGCAAGTGAAACCGTTATATAATGACGTGAGCTAATAAATCACGACTAATGTAATATTTAAGTGAAATGTGAATGTGTATTCAAGTAATTGCACCGATGAAGGCCTGGGTTAAGGGACCGAAAACTTTGCAGTATTAAATGCTTACGTGGTGTACCTACAAGCTAAATTACTTATCGACCGTGACCATGCACACATACAAGAATATTATTTCAAAATACCTTTACCTGCTATTTGAGATATTGTAGTTGCATTCAAGTCAAGCAACACAGTTCCATTAAGAACGCAACTTCGCAATTCGAACAAACTATACAGGGATAAAGTGGCCACGTGAGGTTTACTCCATCGATTGCCACCTTCTTCAACATCTTCTTCAAATTTCAGCCATCTCGCTGTCTCCTTCCACTCTTCTTCTCCAGCTGCATCACAACACAATTCATCCATTTCCGTAAAGATCTGACGTTCAACATCATTGTCATCACCTCCAAGAATGAATCGAACTCTGTCAGCTGGGGCCTGGTGACCTAATGTGAAAAATGATTACAGCATTATTATTAGGTATAGCACTAAGAGAAGCCGGGGGAGGGTATAGAACAGTCTCTTCTAATAATGAATTAAAAAAAAATTGTTTTAGTTGAACCCTGTCGAAGCAGACTGGAGGTGCACGGTAAGATTATTAAGATTAAGATAGTGTAACATGTCAACTTTCGACCAGAAACAAACATCTCAGCTTGGTAGGAAGTTCTGGAACGAAGTTTGGAAACTAACTGCGCATAAAAGTTGCTTGTTTTTTAGATGGTTAAAACACAATATAAGATTTAACTAAAGCTTATTTGTGACGTAAAAATAGCAATGTCTCATGTATTACCAACTGCTCCATTTTGTGGTTTGTTTTTTGTAGAGTTGCTTCTTCCTGGTTTATTCTTGCTCACGGACGGGTAGTGATGGCTGCGGTGATGATTTCGACGTGCTCGCGACGGTTTGATTGGTATGTGAACACCCACGTACACTTGTCGATGATCTGAAAATAAATTAATATTAAAAATTCAATAAAACAATGAAAATATTTATTCTAACACAGAACAATGTGCAAAGATAAAAATGTAAAAGGCTCCAGTCTTATCTCGAGTGGTCCCCGACTGATAAACATTGTTATAAACTATCACGCGTAAAGGCGATTCTCAATTACCGTCCGCTTCACTTGTGCGGGCGAATTGGCTTTTGTGAAAATCTGCCCATGCGTCCGTGACGGGACTGAAAAACAATGCGCGCTTCGCCCGCACGAGGTTCGCTCGGTTACAATTAGTGAATTCTATAAACCCTGGAACGATAAATGGTGGTTATATGCGTCGCCATTTCTGAAGCCAATTTGAAGCCGAAATTGGTACCATTGTCTTACCTTTCTATTGTTTTTGTCAGCGCAATCGTTGACCGTTAAGACAAAAACAATAGAAAGGGACTGACACTGGTGCCCATTTCGGCCTCAAATTGGCTTCAAAGATGGCGGCCGAGTTGACGTTCCATGTCACATAGTGTTCACTGGTCACAATAAACACGACCTCTACGGCGAAGTGAAAGCAATTAGTCAGACAAAACAATACTGAAATAAATTAGGTCTAATCAGTGGCGTAGCCAGCGGCAATGGAACGGTCCTGCTCATCCAGCATCGATGGTGCGAGCAGCCTAGGGGGTTTTCCCTGGGCTCCCCCCCCCTTGAAAATATTAGTTTATGAAAGCTCAGAAACGGCATTCGTATAGCGTCCTGAGGGCAGTTTTATCGTTTAGTTTGCCAGACAGTCTAATATTTTTCCGCGCAGCAAGCTTTATTAAAAGTCTGAATTTCTCGGGTAGTGTCGCAGCTCCTGGCCAGAATGATTTTCATTGGCTGAACTTTACAACAGATTTCTATTTCAACCAGTAGCATAGCTTTGTTCTTTAAAAGCATATATATAGTAAAGCATTATCCAATTCGACGAAAGCTTCCAAGAGCTGCGACATGTCCCAATTTCTCACGCAAACTACAATCAACTTTATTCAACGAGGGTTTATCACTTAATTAATGATGAGAATATCCTTGCTTTATTTAGCATAAGGAAATATCATTCTGTGCGCGATTAGGCACAATATGGAGGGTGTATATAAAAAAGGCAACAACTTAAATATTCATGAACATTTAAGTGAAGAGAAAGGAGTTATTCATGCATGAATATTTAGTTGGGTTGCGTTTTTCTTTATACAACCTGTCCATCACAAAGCTATTGTTTGAACGCTAAAAGGCTTACTTTAAAATTTAATGGACAATAATCCTAAGAGATTGGGTATATTTAGTTGATAAAGACAAGTTCAAGCGATAATGTTTTTTAACAAGATAACACAATCTGATTAAATATATACAGGGTGTATTATAAAAAAACGTAACCACTTAAATCGCTTTCGATTCGTACACAAACGATCGAATATTCATGAATATTTAGTGCGTGCTTGCGGTTCTTTTATACACCCTGTGTATATATCCATAGTCAAAACACTGCAGCTGTAATCGAAACATCATCCATGTATAAATACCAATTAATTTACAACGAATTTTAGACTTTGGACTACGACAAATTATGTTAAATTAAATTTTGTTTTCACCTAAAAGTTCATGCATATACACTTACCGAATTTACTCTCGGATAATGAAAACCATCCAACTATAACAATATATTTCACTGCATGCTCGCCTCAATTTCAAGCGAGTATAGAGAGAGCTAAAGATACCCAAGGCCTCAGGTGTCCGATCTACAGGCAGGAGTAGCCTTATTTTTCTCAATGGAATTTCTTGGTGCTTCTCTGGAGAGGCTAAATTCTACTAGAAAAGAATTCTCGATGTGGAGTGGCAAAAAATTCATCGATAGAAATCAGTACAAAATAAGGCTACTGTATACCGCAGACCAGAACCGTGGTGTATATTAAAGCCCAATTTTTGTTCGGATGAAATTTTAAATTGCCAAATAGTTAATGCAATTTTAGTTTTTGTACGGATAAAATTGAAAATGATGAAATAATACTAAATACTGCCTAAAACAATAGCTTTCCAAATTTCACCTGTACCAAACATATAATTGCGCGCAGTGTGAAATTAATGTGGCTTCAACGTCTATTGTTTTATGTGGAAGCATCCATTATTATAATAAATATATTGATTAGCTCTGAGTTCAGTCGTCAGTCAGTTTAGACTGTCTTTGCGCCAAGTTGTTTCTTATAATTTATTTGGGTAAATTTTGCATACTTATATAGTGCTATCGTCAAGAATGATAGTAGTATAAAATTAATGCAGCTTTATGAGAACGAATGTACCTATGTCATGGAACGCTTCCCGAAAACCGCATGCAGGCTTGCTCGGTAAAGGGCCTCGCGAGAATGTCTCGCAACATGGACAAAACTTTGCTGCCAGTTTAGCTACGGCGTGTTAGCTACTAGAAGTTAGCATTTCACTTCGTTTCATTTCAATGTCCTAAGAAGCTATACAAAATTATTTATAAAGTTTAGCGTTTGGGTTAGTTGGGTATTCAATTTTTTTTTTGTCAAGATATAAAAACTGAGGGGGAAACATTTTCCGGCAAGACAACGCCAAGAACAGAATATTATGCTTTAGCGTTTTCTGCAAAGCCGAATTTTGAGGGCAGAAATTTCGTTCAGATTCTCTGCCTCATCTTCTTTACATCTTAGTTGAATCTAATTCTGACGTTGTTCTTTCGCGCGTCTACCCCTTTTCCGTCTTCCCGTTTTCCATTTGTTTTTGTTCCGCAATTCCGTTTCCGAATTTCACCTGTAGACAATGCAAACCGCACAGCACGTATGATGACATAATTTGGGTAATTATGGTTTTTCATGTTTGCGTGTAACTAAATAGGCATTAATATTCAAACTTTGAAGAGACCGAGTGACTGCAGAGTGGCTTTAAATGAGTTGAATGGAAAGCGCAGGTGAGAAAAAAACTTTACTATTTACTCAAAGCACATATAGTTCGTAGGATGAGCGGCGAATATTATTAAAATATTTGTGAAATCCTTCAGAGATGGCAGACGGTAGTTTGTCAAAGTCAAATGAATCATTCAAATGAAGCCAAATAGTAGAGCAAAAATAGCGCAAACAAAGTGAATCCTCAAACTAGAGTGTGCAATCAGTCACGCGCAACAGAATGATAACTTCATACAAAGCCAAACTACAGGGTGTCCCAAAAAAAACGAAAACTATTGAAATCACCCATAACAATGCCATTGTTAGAGTTTGAATGCCTAAGCACTCTGTTGGGCCCATTTTTATGCATGCATATGATGCAGTCAAATTTGCTTGTTCGCAAAAATGATATTTATTAACAATATTTACAATTTACAAAATATGGATAACATTATTTAAATGTGCATCTCAAGGACCATGTCCTTCGACATGTCCCTTTTCTCTAGCAACAAAAAGCATTTAGCATTTTATAAGCTGCATTAAATCCCCACGGGCTGAAATTCATGAACACGGCATTCAAATTTTAACAATGAGTGATTTCAATAGTTTTCGGGTTTTTTTGGGACACCCTGTATAGTCTTTTTTTTTCCTGTTGATACTGTATGTACGTTTTTATATTTGGTTAAACATCTGCTAAATTTCAGTTTCCTAAAATTATCATATGATCTGCATTTTATTATGATCTTTTTCCCTTGTCGATACTGCGTACAGGTTTTTATATTATTTTAATTTGGTTAAATATCTACTCAATTTCCGTTTCCCACAGTTATCATATGATCTGCATTTTATTATCATTTCAGCTGCAAAAAAATACGAAGCTCTTAATCTTTTTTGCCCACAACAAATTTAGCCTGGATTTACATTACGTCTGTTCAGGATCCAATTTTGTGGGATGCAACTCACTTTACATAGATGCTTTATACATGGGTGTTTTTGACTTCAAATGTGTATGGGCGAAGCCGCAGAACATAAATTATTTTAGCAAATTCAGAACCGCTATATCAATGACGACTACATTTCAAACATCAGAAGTGAACTCAAACCAGCAAAATTATTGGATCGTGTGAATAGACATTGTAACTGTAATCATATGCCGTAATATAACTGGATCGACCTAAATTTAAATCAAGCCCACAAACAGTATTAAAATTAATTTTAGAGAGGCATTTTAAAGCTCAGGGATAGGTTGAATGAAAGCCGGATAGCGCTAAGTATTCACCGGACAGTGATTTTTTCAATCGCTTTAAAATAGCATGTTGTTTGCTATAACTTTGATTAAATCTTGGTATTCCTGAATCCTGAATGAAGGATCCTGTTTATTAATTGTTTGTTCCAAACATGAAATTTTATCGCTTTTCGAGCATTTTTTGAACGGTTGAAAAAACCACAATCCTATCCGTTAGATAGCGCTATCCGGTTTCATACAACCGGCCTCTGACGAATGGAAAAGAGTACCTATGCCACAATCTTCATTCAATTTTGTTCAGGTTCGAATTTAAAGTGGATTTAAAGAAATCTTATTTTAAATATTAGTATATATTTTTATGCATACGCAAGTCAGTTGCTAATTGAAAAATCGAGTGTTTTGTTTCAATGCATCGCCGAATGTACAGACAATAATTATGTGGAAACTATACGCCAGTTTACAATGACGTGAAAAGTGGGTCGAATTGGGACATATTGAACGTGACCCCGAAACAAACGATAAGCAAATATTTCAATGTACAGATATACGAATATTAGAACTTATATAAGACGTATTAATTCTAGTAGCGATAGCTATAAAAAATTACCGCTCATGCTTGTATGTAAGCCATGCATACAGAACTGCTTAGCGCGTATGAAAATACTATCTTCTTACTATAACGTAGAGGGCTCGGCAGTGATCTTGAATTTTCCAGATCGCATTCGAAGAAAATACAATTAAACGAAAGATAGCGGCTTGTTTCACTGTGGAAACAGCACAAAATTAACATTCATGCATCTCAGACCTAAGTTTATATATTAATAATGAAATTACCTTTTATTTCAGTCTCGTCGACTGGGATTGAATATTGTTCAACTGGGTAGGGGGTATCACTTTCTTCTCCAAGTCTTTGAAGCAAGGAACTTGTCCGGGGCTTAAGTTGAATATACAAAGAAATTGATAGGTATATCTTTATTTGTCAAACCGTCAATTAAGGTTTTTTCTTACCCTTCTTCCCGTCGAAGGAAACTGTGTCTGGTTGCCAAAAGATTCAGCCTTACCGTCTTCATCTTCTCCGATTGTTTCTTTCGCGAACATTGCTGTTTAATGCTTGTACGTAAACAGACAATATATTAACTTTTCCTTCTCACAACCACGCGAAATCCAATTATACAGCTGTTTGTCTATTTCAATATGTGTTCACTATATGTAGTGGATTCACTCGTTTGCATATTCATAATAAACACTCAGAATAGATAATTCCAGAAGAGCCAGTCTCGAAAATGTGCGTATATTTTAAAATATATCAAAGCACAAACATTAAGGTGGATTTCCACTCAGTACAAAATGTCGGGTGATCGGTTTTTGCGATCGCTTTCTTTTCAAATGTGTTCACTCAAGCTTAGCTAATGGGATTAGTTCCTTCTGATTGTCTATATTTCAAATGAAGGGATCGCAAAAAGTCGATCGCGCGACATTTTGCACTGAATGGAAATCCGCTTTTATTTGACACCGTGTATATCAGTGAAATGCTTTGCGATTTGCCGAAGAAAAGACTTAAAGCTCGCATAAAACTGTTTGAACAAGTCTTTCTTCAAAATGTACTCTGGTGGATTTTTATTCTGTTCCGGTCGTCACAGTGATTTATTTGAAAGTCTTAAATCCGTTTCAGGCAAAAATGACGCTGTAGTTCGCAATTGACGACAATTTTCCCGAGAATCTGTCGATTGGAAGAGGTGGTCGTGCTATAAGGAATTGACAGACAGCCTCGCCAATCAAAAGATTTTGCATATTATTCTGTGATTTCTGTCAACAAGAGTGATATGCGAAACGGAAGTCAACATGTAGATTCTTATGGACTGTTTACATGAGCCCAGTTACCCAGGATTCAGCGAATTAAGCGTGAGATTGATGTATTGAAACTTCAGAAAACCAAACAAGCATATATTTTATTGTTAGGATGACTAAATCACTGCACGGATCCTGTTAGATACTCATTTCACTACCTCGATGCCTCGATGACATCTTACGCTTTGTTGTATCTTCATTGAATCGATCGTATAAACAGCTCCTTATTCACATCGTCCAAACTAAGCGTCTAGGGCCCTGATCCCTCATTCTAAAGAGGTTAAATATCTCATCAAATTCCCCAGAGAAGAATGTCTATAAATCATATATTTTATCAAGATATCGTCTAAAATTCGTTTATATAGCTCTATGTTGAAATAGTTGCCCGGTGCGCGAGTTGAATGCCGTAGTTTTGTTGTGTTTTTTCTTCAGTTGGTTTGCCTTTCCCGGGAAAAAAAAATTGCTAAAGCCCATTTACACTAGGCGATTTGTCGTATACGATTAATACCTACCCTGCCGTCTGTGAACGTATGAACACACGTACAAATGTGACACTTTAAATTCCAACCTGAACAAAATTGAATGAAGATTGTGGCATAAGCACTTTTTTGTATTCGTCAGAATGATAATTGGATACAACTTATCTTGTAGTATAAATAGGCCTTAATTTATCATCCAAACTCTGGCTTTAAAATCGCCGTGGGTCCTTTATGAACCTATATGAGATTATAAGTGCTACGAGTCCTTCAAACTTTCAAGAAAACACCACTGTCAATATAATACAATGGTTTTTTCACGTATGTCGCATAATTTTTAAAACATTTTTTTAGGCGTACCACTCACGGTTGATTTATTCTAGCTGTATTCTTTATATTAGGTAGTGAGATAACTCTTGAACAGCATTTGGTGGTTGAAAATATAGCAACAAGAGGTTTTCAAATATTATGGGAATATCATTATTGCCAGAAATTGTATTTTGAATTCTATTCTAAATTTCAATGTACCTTTTTTTGAAATCATTTTTTTAACTTTAGTGAAAGACAATACGAAAAATGATAAAAAATAGGCCTGTCGGTTTTTAAAGTTATAATTGGCCATGTTGGAAAATCAAAATGGCTGACAATAGTGTTTTTGAGGTCAGTGTGTTTTATTTAATTGTAAGCGTCTTCAAATTCTGAAGAAAAGAAATCTTTTTGCTTTTCTCTTATATTTAGATTTCAAGTGCGCTTGCATGGTTCTCACGACATAAATTGCACAATTGTGTTTCTTGCATTACGTCTCAATACATTAGTTATTCGGCACTCTGCAGCTGCTAAATTAGGCAAATGATTTGATGTGTATACACAACTAATGAAAAAACCAAAACTAATTAATCATATGCAAACTATACGAATAAAGGCTGGTGGTCATATGTATCGTTGTTTCTTAAATCGATGCAAAATATATGAAAACCGAATAACTTCAATGATGGGAAAGGCAGTTTAAAAAGACAGCTTAAAAGTGCTAATTGAAAGCAATCCCACCGAAACGTTTTGCGATTACTTTGCAGAGATCAATAAACGTGATTCACAGACTTTCCGTTGGACATCATAAAACACGGGCGCGGAATCGCGGATATATAGCCCTGATCTATGTGTGCGCTAAAAGGAATAGGCACGACAACATGTTTCTCGAGGAGAGGCGAAAAGTTTTTATGAAGGTGTGATATTGAAATTATTAAATTGTGGATAAAAGGATCAAAACAATCCAGGTAATTTTTAATTAAATTTTTTATCTTAAATCACAAGTTTGTTTCATTCCTAAAATGCACGACACGAATTGTAATTCTCACTTTATTGTATTCAGTTTGAAATCTTACTATAAATTTGTGAAAGGCTATTATCTGAATCAAACAAATTAATCTGAATCGAGTCCTTCATTGTTTTTTGGCATTTTAACAATGTTTCAAAGCAAATTTACTTCTGATTGTTCTTTATGTAAAAAAATCATAGCTTGATCTACCTTTTTATATGCCGATCTGTTCAAGACGGTTTCGAACATAATTTTGTTCCAAGCTGTACAAATTTATTCTGACTACCCCTAGATCCGCTACTGAATAAGATTGCAAGAAACATTAGCGATTTCAAAACAATAATAATAAATGAAAAGAAATTAAAATAAAGGATTTATTATTAGGGACACTGAATCTCCATCAAACCTTTTTTAGGGACCATCAATGGGGAGAATAGACCAATTGCGAAACCTAGTAACTGCGCCTTCGCACAACATGGAAACGAGGATTATAAATTATTATGCAAAAAATATTTATTTTTTTGCAGTACAAAGCTAGTCGACAAGTTATATACCGGTTTGCGCTTAGTACCAGGTTAAGGAGTTTTGCCTTTCAATTAAGGCGTTTTTGTGGTGTTTTCATTAATCATTTCGCCTGGTTTCGTCGGAAAAATCTGGAAAAGATCGACACGAACTCAGGTAAAAATTTAGTTGCCGTATTGTCTAGATGTTAGTTGTATGGCTTCAGCCTCAGATGAAGGACGTAGTAAATCTAGTTCAGTTGCTGGTTCGCGCTGAATGGACATCAGATGCGGCAATTCAGCGACAGCGCGCAACTCTCTCTTCTCCGTTTCTAGAGTCATTTCTGACGTTAATCCACATGCTTGGCCAAGCGTGTCCGATATTGCCCTCTGCTTGCTCTCTGATAGACGCCGTGAGTAGCTTCTTATGCTGGTCTCTGACTTGTGACCCGAAACTCTCATAATGTGCCTTGCTTCAAAATTCGAGTGATCCAAAAGTGTTACAGCAGTGGCACGAATACTGTAGTTGGTGTACTCTTTTGATAGACCCGCTGCTCTAGAAATTTTTACCAAAATATTTCTACCAACCGGCGTTTTACAATACTTGAGACAACAAAATAAATTTTATTGGGATCCCTATTATAAAACTCGGAGAATAACTTCTTCGAGTACCTTGTACCGAAAAAAATCTAAAAATTGTTTTTATACAATAAGCATCGTTTTTGTATTGCGTGAAGGCGCGGCTACTAAGTTTCCGAATTGGCCTATGAACCTCCATCAAACAATACAATCAGTCAAAATAACAATTGCCACACTCAAAAAAATATGTGCATGTTTTTCCAGGAGTACGTTAGTAAATTTGAAACCTGAATTCACACAGAAATTAAATTAGATTTATAAACATTTAAATGTGTTAATGATTAGCCTATTACAAAGAAACACTGCATTTCAGTACTTCAACGCAAATATTTCACATGCGCAGGAAAGATGTTCCCAATTTAATCTTGTTACTACTATTAAGGGAATATAGTCATGAATTTCGTTCGCTTTCTGCTCGGGATTTGATTTATCAAGGGAAACATTCAGCAACCCTACTCCTTGTTATAGCAATTTATAACTGGCCAGTACAGTTGATCTAGAAAGGCCATCATTTTTAGATTTAAAATCACTCAACAGGCGGATGACCATTGACGAATTTCTGCATCGGTTGACAATGGAACTCTTTAGTGTGAACTCTGGAAGTCTTTTTTGACGACGTTGAAACTCATTTGTGTGGACGCCGAAACTTTTTTGTCTTGACGCTTGAACTCTTTTGTGTTGAGGCTAGAACTCTTCTGTATTGACGCTGGAACTCTTCTGTGTTGACGCCGGAACTCTTCTGCGTTGACGCCGAAACTCTTTTCTGTTAACGCTGGAACTCTTCTGTGTTGACGGCGGAATTCTTTTGTGTTGACGGCGGAACTCTTTTGTGTTGACGCCGGAACTCTTCTGCGTTGACGCCGCAACGACGCCGCAACTCTTCTGCGTTGACGCCGTAACTCTTCTGTGTTGACGCCGGAATTCTTTTGTGTTGACGGCGGAACTCTTCTGTGTTCACGCCGGAATTCTTTTGTGTTGACGCCGCAACTCTTCTGTGTTGACGCCGGAATTCTTTTGTGTTGACGCCGGAACTCTTTTCGGTTGACGCCGGAACTCTTTTGTGTTGACGCTGGAACTCTTTTGTGTTGACGTTGGAACTCTTTTGTATTGACGTTGGAACTCTTTTGTGTCGACGTTGGAACTCTTTTGTATTGACGTTGGAACTCTTTTGTGTCGACGTTGGAACTCTTTTGTGTTGACGTTGGAAGTCTTCTGTGTCGACGCTGGAACTCTTTTGTGTGGACACTGGAACTCTTTTGTGTGGACGCTGGAACTCTTTCGTGTGGGCACTGGAACTCTTTTGCTTGTACGCTGGAACACTTTTGTACGGACCCTGGAACTCTTTTGTTTGCACGCTGGGCAACTCTTTTGTGTGGACGCTGGAACTCTTTTGTGTGGACGCTGGAACTCTTTGT